TGTGTAACAATGCAATACACCGAGTGTGCACGGAAATAATGTGATTTGAAAACTAATGCGCGCGGTCAATCAAAGTTTTGCCACGCTCGGCGTGACTAACGCCTTGATTTCCACGAATTTTCATCTATCACGTTGTTTCCCAACGGAAAGAAAAGCGAACGCGCGTTACGAGCAATGTAAAAAGTAAAACAAAAGGGTAAAAGTAAAACTGGCGATTCGCCGAGCGCGTTCGCGCCGACTCGGGCTGGGTTCGCGCGAGGCCGACGATGTGGATGGTAGGGATGACGGGCGCGCACCGTGCGTTCTGCATTTGCCGCCGGCAGTTCGTCAGCGACCGCAGCGCGCGTCGGAGCCGCAGTCGTCGCACAACCATCTCGTCGTGACTCGTTTTCCGCTTACACACATACCTCTCGCTGCGACTACTGCGCGCGCGCACTCGCCGACGACCGTTGCGTTTTTAAATTTAAAATCCGCGCCACCAAAACGGAAGAGGCCGTCGCGATTGCAATTCTCTCTTCGCCGGTGTTCCCAACCACGTGTGTTGTGCAGTGCGTGTGGTACAAATGCTAGTGCAAGTGATATTGTGCGTGTCTCTCACGGTGATAATGTAACTGCGTTTCTTACACGAAGTCGCCTTCCAACGAAACAAAAGAGACATTCATATGTGGTGCGTTTTACATTACGATCTTCTCTCACTCTCACACTCACACATTGCACTGCAGCGCTGGTGATAGGAAGTAGCAGAACGCACAAAGCCCACGAGAAGAGCGAGCTTGCTTTGCTCGGGGTGCTATAGGGCGCTAGGGGTGCGAAATACGATGGAGATTGAGCGACGCAAGTGAGTAGCATGCGAAACGCAGTCCACAATCCTCCGAAACTACCTTTATCTTTCTCTGTGTAACTTTTGTGTGTGGCGATGTGTGCGTGAATGCGGCCATGTGCTTCAGAAATTAGGAAACCATGTGGGATCCATGTCAAAGCAGAGAAAATGGCGAAGAATTTTGCAGACAAGGCCCGGAAAATGAACAAATCAAGGGGGAAAATCACTTCTTTAACCGATAGTCATGCATGCAATCCATCTTGAAGTCAATGTAGAAGAAGAAAAATGTTGATGCGTTCATTTTGAGCCCATTTTGTTGAAGATTAATGCATTCTTCGTCGATTTTTCTTTTGCTTGCGCCATGTTTTAATTGAGCAAATCTCTTCCTTCAGTGGTTTTGTGAGATTTTTCTTTTGTTTGTTCGTTTTCCATGCGGTCTGGCTACCAGAATTCTTTGTTTAATTGTTCGACTACTAACAATTGTTGAATATTCATCGGGGCAGCAGCGTAGTCACACTCTGTGTTTGTGAAATTTTCAAATTCCTGTTTGGTTTCTTGCGTTTCATTCAAGTTCTCGTCTCCTCTGCACTTCTCGGTCCCCTGTCGGGTGTGTGTGTGTGCGTTTCGACCATTTGCTCGAATCTTTTGTTGAATCACCTCGAGGTCTCCAGACCTAGACTTTTGTTGCCGACCATGTGGTTGTTGTGGCTCGGCTCGGTTCGTTTCTCGTTGTTGTTTCGCTTCGTTTGGGCTCTCCTCGAACTCGAAATTCTCGTGCGTGTCCGCATGCATTGTGTCGCCTGCCTCCTTCTTTCCTCGTCGCTCGCGGTGGTTCCTTCCATGGGTTTCTTCCCAGCGTCAGCGCGCCTCGCTAGACGAGACTCTCCGCCGCGCTTCGGAGGAAACGAACGACCTGAAACGAATCGACCTTGAACTTTTTTTTTTACTTTTTCATTATTGCCGCGTCGCCGCGCGTTCTTTGTTGGCACGGCATGCCACTGCACACACTCACACGTTTTCCCCGAGATTTACCTGCGCGAGCAAACAGTCCGCTGGTTTCTACCTGCGTTTCGAGGCTCTTGTGGCTGCTGTTGCTTGCTCCTAAACATTTCGAAGAAGCACCGAGCTTTCAAAACCAACAACGCTACCTACCCGTACTACCGCGCCGCATAATTTTTAAGTTTTAAAGTTTCGAGCCTCTTTGAGGCTCTCCGTGGTACGCTGTTTCTGTACCTGATGCGACCAGACGACCCATCTCGGGTGCGGGTCTGTGGAACAGCTGTGATCATGCCATCCATGTGGTGGCAGAAGCAGCTTTCTCATGTCTAGCACCGGCCTAGTCCTCGACACAACACGATGCAATTGAAAGTGCGCTAATGTGGTTTTAATTCCACTTGTTTTTGTTGTTTGTATTATGCGCACGCCGCGATTACGACCGTATGTACGAGTCTCATTTTCGTTTCCTTTTGTTTTCATGAATTTTACTGACTTTCGTAGTTTTGTCCCGACATTTGTTTAGGAAGTTCGCTTAAGTTGCGAGTTGTACGTTTAATTTGGCGTCGTGATGCATTTGCGCTCGGAATATTCATGCCTTTTGTTTCCACATTGCCGAGTGCGCACTCCCAAGTTACATCTGCTCAGCGCGTTCGGTTTCTCAACGCTCGACGCCGCTCATTGTCGAGAATTCAATGTTGATTACTTAATTTCTGGCGTTTTCTTTGTGCGTTGCGTTCACTGATCGGTCGGCGCACGTCGCTTTGTTCGCACAGTGCGCTTGCTCGAGACTGTAGCTAGCAGTCGCGGGGGCCGTTGTTGCGCGCCGTTTTTTTGTTGTTATTATTCGCTCCTATCGATGTAATAAGCAACATGGTTATAAATAGACATTGTTTCGGTCGGCGCGCCGCGTACATTACTTAACCATCGCGCACACAATTCATTCATGAGCGTGGCGCGAAGAAGCTCTCGGGATCCTTGTGACCCCGTTGCATCGGCATGATTTTTTTTGATCGGCCCTGAATTCGAAGTAAAGTAGGTCCAGACCCCGAATCGCGCGCTTTCCGCGCGCATTCTTTAACTGTTTTCCGTTTTGCAATGCTTCCCGAAATAAAGTCGAATGTCGTGTCGCATCGCGACCGAGAACACTGCCACAGCGCGCGCTCGCTGTTCGCCCAAGGAGCTAGAAAAATGATTGAGCAACGCGCGCAGCAAAGGCTAAGAATGGACCTTGAACGACTAAAAACTGAATTATGTGCGATTGCAACACGTCCAAGCGTTTCACAAACATAAACACATTTGTAAACGCATTGCTTCTTCACGGCGACAGACACTCTGCTTGATTTGAACCTGAAGTAGTTTTCGTTAGTTTTCATGGAATGGAAGTTAGTTCTAATAGCAGCCATGATTCAATGGCATTTCCTCGTGATTCCGTAACGTATTATTGATTATTCTGACTCAGCTGTACACGCGGCGTGCGCTCGTGTGGGTGCCGCGTGAATGCATGTTATTTATTTTAAGAAACAGCTGATTCCACATACTACGTAACTAAAAACTAGCGACAGGCACACAAAGGGCCCCGTGCATCGACACATGTGCGCCGCCGGCGCTCTCCTGCTACCGGCCCTCGGGATGCGAGGCGGCCCGCGTGACTCACCGGGGCCAGGCCCCACGCGCCCGACCTCCACCCGTTGGCCTCCCCTCGGAGCGCTCCCTGCTCACCGCTGCTCCGCTTTTCCTTTTCCCTCGCGCGAAGCGGCCATGTTGCTGCTCGAGTATTGAGCGAACGCGCGCGGTGTTACTGTGTGTGCGTGCGTGCATTTCGGCGTGCACTCCGCCGGCCCCGTCCCTTCGACGACGGGTAGCGGCGCGCCGACCGGCGGACGGGTCGCTCTGCGTTCGCACCGCTTTATGGGTACCCTACCGGCGACGAAGGCCCAACCCGACGACTCGCTTCTACCTCTCTGCCTGGCTGCCTGCCGCCAGCCTTCGACTTCGCTCGCTTGGTGCTGGGTTCGGAGTGCGAAATCGATTTTGTTTGCTTTGCCATTCGCTGTACTGAGCAAACCATGTCTAGCCGAATCCTACTCGAAAATCGCTCGTTTCTGGGCCCGGCTCCTCCGCCAAGACAGTAATTTGTCGAGGGAATATTTCCTATTCCTAGAATTCCGTATTTAACTTGAATGCAGAACAATTTCTTCGGCTTTGGCTTACTTCACAGGCCTGTTTTATTATTACGGTTCGTTTCATGCAAATTTTGAACAATATTGAAGTAAAACTCATATAATGTCTGACCGCTCGCGGCTTAGGCTTAGGTTTTGCGACATTTTGTTCGAAGATTTGTGCCCTTGGCCAGGTAGACGGTCATTGAAAGTGCACAGTATGTATTTATGCTTCACCAGCTGTTCACAATTCGAATTCTACCTGCCGTTCACGACGAAATTCGCCGGAATAACGAACAAAGTGCGCTCGGCACAATATACACAGCACAACAATAATGCGGATTACAAGCACGGTAGTCGATTTTTGGCGAATTGCATTTACCTGTCGCATTACTCGTATTTATGGCGGGGCCCCTTCTCTTCGCCGCCGTGCGAACGGTTTTCGGCGATCAGGCAGGTACTGGTACCCCGGCGGTCGGTCGTTTGCTCGTTATCATCTCGCATCCATTCCGTCGACGCGCTCATTCCGTCCGTTGTGCGCTCGTCGAACGGTCGTCGAGAACGTTGAACACATGGCGTTTCTTCGCCGTTGAACGAACCGCCGGTGTCGGTACGTTAGCGTTTTGTTCGCTCTCGCGTTCGTGTGCGCTTCGCGCGTGGCTGTCTCTGCTGTTGTGTTTGTGTGTGTGTGTGTGTGTATAAACCGCCTGGGTACGGTGCGTTGGCTCGAGCAAAGGGGAACTGGCTTTCCGGGGCGCACCACTTCGATCGCACACATGTCAGTCGTGCACGTCTGCAGCCGTAGCCCAACGAACACTCGGTAATTTCGTGCAGTTCACATTTTTCAAATTTTTCTCCTTGAGGTCGCCCAGCGCCGACATTTTGTTTCCACCTCGAGGGTAGGTGCACCCTGGGTCGTTGCGATTGCTGTTGTTCTCTTGTGTGTGGCTTTGTGTGATGTTACTTTGCGTTGTTGTTCTTGTTGTTGTTATTTTACTTAATTTGGTTTTGTTTGTTTGTTGCAGGTACAAGAGCGGCAGTACAGTGCGTTCGAGCACAGCGAGAAGTAACGGTTGCGCGGGTGGCAGTAGCACCGCGGCGGCCGGTGGCGGTGTCGGCGCGGCCAGCGGCGGCGCACATTATCGCCTACTCGTGGGCGCGCGGCCCTCTTCGTGCGAAGTGCGTCGCGCCTACAAGGCGGCGGTGGTGCCGTGCAAGACGGGGCGGCGACGCGCCCGTGGCATGAGCATGGGCCAGAAGGTCTCCACCGGTGTTAAGGTCGTGAATCGGGACACGGCCGCCCCATACAAACCCGTTATCCCTAGGGAACTAGCACAAGTGAGTGGTCATCATTGTTTTTTTTTCATATGTTGAATGTGTTTGGGTATTTACTGACGCATGGCGCTTGCAGGATTTTGCGCGACCCCCCAGACTCGACATGTTGCTGGATATGCCACCAGCGCTACGCGAGACCCAGCTGAAATACAGCTGGAATGCGGACGACCGCTCGTTGAACATCTTCGTCAAGGAGGACGACAAGCTCACCTTCCACCGACACCCCGTCGCGCAAAGCACCGACTGCATCCGCGGAAAAGTCGGCTTCACAAAGGGCCTGCACACGTGGGAAGTGTGCTGGAGCACACGACAGCGTGGCACACATGCTGTCGTCGGTGTTGCCACCGCCGAGGCACCCCTGCACAGTGTTGGCTATCAAAGCCTCGTCGGTAGCACAGATATGTCCTGGGGCTGGGATTTAGGTAAAAGCGAAAAAAGTGCCATTTTTGAATGTATACTAATGTCTGGGACATTTTTAGGTCGCAACAAATTGTACCACGACGCGAAGAATAACGCGGGTGTTACATACCCTGCGCTATTGAAACCGGACGAAACCTTCATCGTGCCGGACAAGTTCCTCGTCGTCTTGGACATGGACGAGGGCACGCTGAGCTTTGTCGTCGATGGGCAATACCTGGGCATTGCATTTCGCGGCCTCAAGGGCAAAAAGCTCTACCCAATCGTGTCGGCCGTATGGGGCCATTGCGAAATCACGATGAAGTACATTGGTGGCCTTGATCGTAAGTACTGCACGCATACGCTACTCTAGAATTCTAAGCGCGCCCGCCGTACACGAAATACAGCTGTACATCGTGTACATCGAAACGTACACGACCCGCGTGCGAAAAGCGCTAAGGAGTCGACGCACTGACGCTTCACGGTCACTCGTCGCTCGACGCGCGCGCAATTACAGCTCCTTTTCCTTTTGGTCGCTGCTGCTCGTGTTTTTGCCGACACATACATGCGCGTTTGTCTCTTTTAATGATCACCGAGCGAATCTCCCACCTTTACCAGTGCGCTGCGGGCTGCCGTGTGTTAAGTCGCGCGTTGTGTTAAAATTCGTTTTGTGCGTTCGCGGCGAAGAACCTTGAGATTCAAGGGCGTCCGGGGCCCGCCACAGTCAGCGAGCGGGCGTCGGTCGACGAAAAACGGCACGAAATCCGAACGTTGTCCATCCACGGGCCATTCAAGATGGGCGCGTCATGCTAGAATGTTCAAAACTTGCGGCGCGTAACTTATAATAATTTATCGCTTTTTCTAACATGTTTTTTGTGTTTTAGCCGAACCATTACCATTGATGGATCTGTGTCGCCGCGTGATCCGACAGCGGCTTGGCAAGCAGCATCTGGACGACAAAGTGACGTCACTGGCTCTGCCTGCCGCCCTGCAGACCTACCTGCTCTACCGCGATCGAAGATAATATCTGTTGCTGCGCCAGTTGCTCTACCAGCTGCAGCACCGTCAGCGGGCCGGCGAGCTGGACTCTGAGGACGACGAGGATGACGACGCGACGGCCGTGGCTGCGGCGATGGCGGAGGAGTAGAGCGCGCGGTGCCGTCTCACCGTTGCCCCTCTCACCCATTTAACTTTTAATGCAAAATTATAAAAGTGTACCCACATACCACGTTCACTCGCAAAGGCATAGCTCCCCGCCGGGAGGGAAGGCGAACGTACGAAGCACACGGATTCGCGTGTGGATGGCTTAAGTCGAGCGGAGCGCGAACGCGTTTATCATGGCTTCCAATTAATTTTTATTTTGAGACACCCTCGCCGCCCCAAATTCGCCCCGAACGCTCTCCGCGCACTGAGAAGCAGCTTTCATTTTTTTTAGTTGCTTGACTCGTGTTTTTATTAAATATTATAGCCTTTCTTTCTTTATTATTTTTTTTGTTACTTATTGATAGTTGCTGCTCTTTAGCTGCTTGCATGAAATGATGAAAAGACGACACGCAGACCAAACCGAAAAACGCAATGTAAAGCGAAGCAAAAAAGATCTCATAGCATATTTATGTAAATGTATTTGTAGAGAGCTGCGTTTCTACGATTTTAAGAAGCGTTTAAGCGAAAAACAGATGTGTAAATATGTGCCGCCGACATTTGGGCGTTGACGGATGTAAATAGTTGGAAAACGAGGCGGACGCGTCACATTGTCTTTGGACGGAGCATGCGCGCGCGTCCGTCGAGTTCCGGTTTTGTTTGCCGTGATCCGCGTCTCGTTTCCGCTCGCAGACAACCATAGTTACAGCAACATTTAAATTTGAGACAATTTCTGCGCGAAAACCAAGCGTACGCAAACATCTGTGGGCAGTCTAGACTTATTTTTGTATATATTATTCTTAATTGCTAAATTTAATTATTGTAGTTAGGTACTTTTTGTTTTATCTCGACGGTCCTTTTTATTGTGCAACTAGAAGAGAAACGAAGGGACTATTGACTACTTGTAATATGTTTAGTTATAAGTGCCAGTTTTACGCCCATTCCCGGAGGTCCTCCTCCTTTCTCCCTCCTTCCCGTCCCCAATGCTCCGGAAAACACACACACCCTTGGAAGCTGCAGGAATTTTATTAATAACATGAAAATGTGCAAGAAAAAGGAGATGAACAATTGTGTGTTTATGTAATTTATAAAAGTAATATAAGTATTCGAATGCTAAAGATTTTGGAAGTGCTGTCGTGTCGCAATCGCAAGCACGCGGACATGAGCGAACAATTGTTAATTATATTTACGAGAAACTTGTACTTCCCGGTCTTTCCGAGCAATGATAATTTCTTTTGTTTTCTTGTCGGACGCCCTCTGGCGCGAAAGGGAATTTATTTATTAAGACTAATTTTTCGTTTTTAAATCAAGGAGAAACATAATTAACACGTCTCTCGTAAGTCGTAACGTAACGATTAAAATATATGATCTATAAATATATAAATACTGATGATAAATTAAACAAACCTATGATAAAGTGTAAGTAATAAGTAACAAAAATTGAGAATGAGTAAAATCGCAAAATTTTATTTATTTTTTGATTTTCTCAATATCCTTGAATGGCATATACTTTCAGGAAGGCAAATTTCAATCCTATATCATCTTTGTGGATGTTGGTAATTACATTACAGTTTCATGTATGCAGTCGAGTTTATATTCAATGCTTCGATCCTTCAACATTGAAAATAGTTCTCGTATTCTGCATTACGCGTTTATCAGTGCTGCGTACAAACAAATTTTTGTGTGGCGTTGCAGGAGGTAACACGCGGTGCGTTCAGCGCAACCGGCGCAGTGTCTGTCTAGCCGTCGGTTGGTCTCGTTGTGCATCCTGCACGTTGGTGCTCTTCCTGAGATTTTTATTATTAAAATTATACGTGGAACGTTCGGACAGTGCCAACAAAGTGTACACATATGCCGTCAACATTTCAACCTAACAATTTACAGAAACGTGCTTGTGCGATTCAATACTTCAGGGATGAAGGAATAAAGGAGTAAATAACATCAAGTGAAAACCAGCTTTTATTTAATCAATTCATTGAATGATTAGTTATTATGCTTTTGCCAATAAAGGATAATTTAATCTTATATTCTTGTTCTCATGTATATTTCGTGTTCACTTGCTCGTTTCCAAATTTAGTATTATTAGTCTCGTCTAATACTTATGGTTCTTTATACTTGCCAATACTGTATATCACTTATAGTATTACATATATTGTTTTTTATTTTGAATAGTAATAATAAATAGAAGAAACTAGTTACCTTCGATAAGAGAGCCTATATCTAGCTTATATCTTATTTTTGTTATCTTTATATTTAGGTGCTATAAAGTTTTAGTTAATTTAGCGAATTAAAAATGAATTAAAGTCACAAATCACAGCGCATCTGATTTGTGTTTGTTTTTAGATGTCAAGGAGTCGAACCGGACCTCGGTGTACAATTGTGAGTATTGAAATTCTTATCATTTTCATATCTGCTTTGTTCACGTAGCCTGCAATATCTTTTCCTTGTGTAGTCGATCGTGCGATGTTGTTCGGTACACACGTGTTTTGTTCACAAGTCGATCTTTGTAACTAGTTTGCGCGTTTCTTGTGATTTTAAGTCGGCAGTTGAATTAGAATCGATCAGCAAAGATAACATTTAGAGTTAGTGCGGCGTGCAGTTAATGAATTATCGCGCGTGGAAGTCAGAATTGTGTAGTTTTACAATGTGCGCACGTTTTTGGCCGTCGGCCGTCGGATATCTTACGTCGGCTAAGAAGTCCGTCCCAGTGGTTTTATTTGCGTAATGATATTAATTTGTGAAACTAAACACTGTTTGTCCCTGTGAGGAACATTTTAACCGAGAAAGTGCACGTAGGTCACTATAACATTAACATTCGATGAATTAAACAATTAGTGAAGATGTTTCATGGACGAAATGAATTTATCAGACGTTAAGGAAAAGCGAGGTAACCGTTGAATAAGTAAATACTCTGAAAATAATTCAATTTTAACAAATAATTTTAAAATTCAACATGTACTCATGTGATTGCATGTAATAAAGTATACTTTTAATATTACATTTGCTAGTATATTTGTCTATGTTTCCTTTTTGTCGTTTTCAGAATTAGATTTAAAGACCACATTTGATAGTACGTATTTGAAATGCGAATAACAGGTACATAAATGTTGTTGTTTTTAAAAAGGTGAGAAAAACAACAACATTTATATCTGAAACGAATAAGACTCGGCAAGAGAGCCGTGTGGCTCAGGTGGTATGTGCATATGCTAGCATGCTAGAGGTTCGTGGATCGAATCTCGGTTGTAGAAAGCAATTTTATTAAATAATAAGAAATTTACGAAATGTGGGTTGCATACCACAAAAATTCAAGATTCAAATGTTAGAAATAACTTGAAAAGCAAAGTACAACGAAGCAACAATAAGAATAAGTAGAAGATGGTGGAGGAGCAAATAGAGACCAGCAGCAGCAGGAGAGAGAGTATAGGAGAAGTAAAAAGAGAAGAAGAAGAAGAGAGAGTATAGGAAGAAAAGAGAATAGGGGTGACAGAATTTTTAAATTTTTTGGCACGTGTCGTTATAAGACAGTTTACGGTCGATCGCCCACTGCTTCGATCCGTCCATTGCTCCCGGCCCATCCTACAGCTGCGATGTCTCTGCGCTTCATCCCCGAAATTATCAGGCATATCAACAATTTTTATGGTGGGGGATCACCCCCAGAGAGAGGGAACTCCTTATAAGGACATCCTTTTAAGGACTTGTCTAATTTTTAAGTCGCCTCAAAAGAGGAGACACTTAAAAATATTCTTACAAGTTCTGACCTGCAGCTGAAATGAAAGATGGAGAACACAAATCATACAGGATACCTTAACAATTTTTATAGTGGGGATCATCCCCTGAGAGAGGGAACTCTCTTAGAGACGTGTACCTGAAATGAGAGAAGGGGTACATTCAAAGCATAAGACATAATATTTCTTAACATTTCTTTATTAATAAATACAATGTAAAATAATACAAGTTTAGATTTTACAAGTCAACAAAATTCATGCCGACATATTGAAACAGGACTTACGACCTGCATCATCGCGCATATACAGGCAAGTACCAAATTGTAAACACTAACACATAGGCACTAGAAAATTACTATTTATCACGAAAAACTAATGTACAGGGTGTTACCAAAAGAAAAATTCATATTTCCAAAGGAAACTTGTAACAATAAACTTAACACATTTTTCGCATAATGGAAAAGTAATATACAGGGTGTTGCAAAAAGAAAATTTACAGTTTAAGGAAGAAAACAGTTGAAAACAAAAAATTGGTGAAGTATTGATGGGAAATAGGAAAACAAATATATAGGGTGTTCTCAAAAGAAAATGACAATATTTAAAAAGAAAATGGTCTGGTCAAGAAAAAAATATCATCAACTTACAAGGTTTTGGTAAGGGAGCAGGAAAATGTAACATATAGGGTGATACAAGAAGAAAATCATTATATATAATAACAAAACTCAAAATTCTCGAAGGATAACATTAGTCAAATAAAAATGTTACAATTTTCACAATGGAAAGTGAAGGAAAATGCAAGAGAAGGCAACACAACAACAATACCACTACATTTAGAAGTATATACTAAAGCACTAGAAGAAAACTACAAGAAAATTTAAGTTGCTACCTGTTTCTCCCGGGATGGCATAAAAATAAAGGAAGAGAAAGTAACAATGAAGAAGGTGACACTATTATAAATATTACTGCAATATTGAGATTATATTTTCGACGCAATATCCAGACAAAGTGCCGGCCGTCAGCACGCACACTCTAAAGCAAGGCTGGCCAATGGATTTTCCTGGAGGGCAAAATCTTTAGATTGCAGCGGCACCGGGCCACAGACTATGGCCATTCATATATAAAATATTATAAACATACGAAAGTTCCAACTTTGGGTTTTGCGGCGGGCAAATTCAAATATCCTGGCGGGCCACTTTGTGGCCCGCGGGTCTGCAATTGGCCAGCCATGCTCTAAAGGAAACATTAAAATCGCGTATTATATACATTTTACGGACAGTAATAAATTGTCAAACTACTAGACGTATCAACGCGATTACAGAATAAAGATTGCAGAAAAATGTGAGATGAATGGATTTAGTAAAACCAACTTTCTGCAACGAGGCCAAAAATGTATCCGACGGCTAGTGACAATTTTAAACTATAACGATAGTTTCACTACACGCGATTAAAAAGCAAAATGTAATAATGATGGATTAATATTTACAAACTTACCCCTGCATCGGGTAGTCAAGGAATGCACTGGAACAAAAAACATTGCTTAGAACTCGCACTACCGTGTGTACTAATAAAGTCCGTCTCGTCGGATAATAGACTTGCATTACAAGCCATATTATGTACGTATAACATAAAGTGTTACATTCTGGCAAGGACAGATGTTGATTACACGTTCTGGTAATTGACACAAATATAAATAATTTTAATTCCCATTTTCAGGATCGAATTAATCTAATGGTCGACGGATCACTATCACACAAATGAAGACACGAGTTTTTTAAATGTTGAGAGCACAAATCAATAGCAAAACCCAATGCACATCTATTATCATTAGGTGCTGATTTAAATCTATAAAACGTAATGCAATTCACTGAATTGAAATGAAAAGAAGGAAGACGGGCCGCCGCGCGCTGATAGGAACAGACTGAAACGATCGAACGTTCGTTGCGTGCCACTCAGCATGTGAACTTATACGAGTACCATGCGATCCACGCGATAAAAAAGTTGTTTATACACAAACCCCGATAAACGGGCTGAGATGGAATTGCAACATGATGTGTAAATATAATTCTGCACTCTTCTGCACGCATTCACAAATTTCTCTATAACTCACGTTAAGGAATTATCTCGCAACCAATTCAAATACAGGGTGATAAAGAATTAAATTCGCGTGTTATATCAAGACAACTATTACTACGGCGCACGCACACAACTTTCAATATAACTCGCGTCACGGAATTTTCTTGCAATAAATTTCGATACAAGAAAATACAAATTTAAATTCTGCACTTGGGAAAATAATTTCGCACTTATTGCACTTATTATTTGTCCGGACAAACAATTCGAGTCGCGTAAAATATTGTATCAACCAGATAGCGGCACGAAACTGGCTGCAAATTGTGCAAGCAACGACGCGACAGTTTATGATAAGAAAGCAAGAAATGCGCACAGTGCGTCGATGGCGCGCGACCTTGTGCGATCAAAACTAAACTAAGATACGCCAACATGCGGCGTGAATTGATCTCATGCGTTGCATTCTCGCGGCGAATGCGATAAGAAAGTGTAAGTTGTGTTCAAAACAAACACAATTCTCGTGTCGAATGCTCGCGCTTGCTGATAGCTATAGAAATAAACAATACACTATTTTACATTTTTTGTTAATCAACGGACAATTCTCTATAAAATAAGCTAGTTAAATTGGAAATCTAAGAGGAAAAAAAAAATCATACTCATGCGGTTCCCTAAATACGATTAACTTCTACTGATACCCTGAATGGGAGACACTTTTATCGCCACCCTGCTACGGTAAACCGAATGAGACTCAACTATACAATTGCGATTAATTGCAATATAACTAAATAAACGAAAATATCAACGTTCTTGTCCTATTTAAGTCAATTAATTTGAATAGTGCATATCTTTTAAACTAAAAGCAATAGCGACCAGCTGATTGAAGAATATGAATGATTGGAAAATTGAATGAAAAATAATTCTATTCTTTGAGGTAAAAAGTCCAAAAATATGACTAAAGTGCTAAAATGTGCAATTTTCAGATTTTTGTCAAAATATTAGAAAAAATAACAGGCCATGCAATTTTAAACACATTATTGAATATAACAATCTATAAAACACTACGAAAATATGATAATAAAGAAAAACAAAAGGGAGAAACATAATCAATCAATGTGGTTGAGAATATTATTTAATTCACTTACTGGTTAGTACTGTAAACATTCGTCGTTAACGGCATCCGTCGGCACCCCTTCACGAACAAATACACAATATTTGCATTTCGCAACATCTTATAAGCGATAAATCATTAGCGAGACACAATAATCAGCAATAATCACTAAGAACACCGATAGTGATACGAGTTACCGAATTAAATCCGAAGAAAAGAGAATCGCGACGACCGCGTGCGAACTATCCGTCGGATACGGCGAAACTAATTTTAATCCTACAGCGTGAGCAAAAGATACACGCGGCGCCATCACACGGTCGCGTATATAGTACAAAACTATACACGAATATCGTACGCGAATCACCTGATAATAAGAGTGCGAATTCCAGTGCGTCGTGAGATCGCAAGGCTGTTTAGACACTACCACATACAAACATTGGACGTGTATGTTAGTCAATGAAATATAAATGTTTGTTACCCTTTTTTAAGTGATCAAATTGCTTCGAAACAATTAAATCTTAATTCAGATAAAATAAAGAGAAACATTAGAATATAATTGATCTGTTTGAAATTATAATCAAATACCTAGTAATCCCGAAATTTGAATTAAAAAAATTAATAAAAATTTAAAATCTAAATTATGTAATTCAGATTTCTTATACTAAAAGATTATTTCGCACCTATTGTGATACCGCGTTCTCGTGTTATGTTAAACAAACTACAATTCCTAGCGCAACGAGTACTACAGTGCACACACACACAACTTTCAATATAACTCGCGTTACCAAATTTTCTTGCAATAAATTTTTTGGACGATTTTCAAAAATTCATATCTCTTAAACTAAAAGAGATAGCTACCAACGAATTGTTGATTATGAAAGATTGGAAGATTCTCTATCAGATAAAAATATAAAATAATTATATTTCCTACAGTAAAAGGTCGAAAAACGCGACTAAAAGTGCTAAAAAGTGACATTTTGCAATTTTTGCCCATTTTATTCAATCGCGAATATCTCGTAAACTAAAAGAGATAAATAAGATCTGATCGCAGCGTCTTAATCTACGGACCAATCTCTATCAGATAGGATAGTTAAAAGGGAAATCTGAGAGATAAAATTTTAAGTCTTAAGAAAAAATTGCCAAGGGGGGGTGCTTGATACTTTTTTTCGACGATTTTCAAAAATTCATATCTCTTAAACTAAAAGAGATAGCTACCAACGAATTGTTGATTATGAAAGATTGGAAAATTCTCAATCAGATAAAAATATAAAATAATTATATTTCCTACAGTAAAAGGTCGAAAAACGCGACTAAAAGTGCTAAAAAGTGACATTTTGCAATTTTTGCCCATTTTATTCAATCGCGAATATCTCGTAAACTAAAAGAGATAAATAAGATCTGATCGCAGCGTCTTAATCTACGGACCAATCTCTATCAGATAGGATAGTTAAAAGTGAAATCTGAGAGATAAAATTTTAAGTCTTAAGAAAAAATTGCCAAGGGGGGGTGCTTGATACTTTTTTTCGACGATTTTCAAAAATTCATATCTCTTAAACTAAAAGAGATAGCTGCCAACGAATTGTTGATTATGAAAGATTGGAATATTCTCTATCAGATAAAAATATAAAATAATTATATTTCCTACAGTAAAATGTCGAAAAACGCGACTAAAAGTGCTAAAAAGTGACATTTCACAATTTTTGACAATTTTATTCAATCGCGAATATCTCGTAAACTAAAAGAGATAAATAAGATCTGATCGCAGCGTCTTAATCTACGGACCAATCTCTATCAGATAGGATAGTTAAAAGGGAAATCTGAGAGATGAAATTTTAAGTCTTAAGAAAAAATTGCCAAGGGGGGGTGCTTGATACTTTTTTTCGACGATTTTCAAAAATTCATATCTCTTAAACTAAAAGAGATAGCTACCAACGAATTGTTGATTATGAAAGATTGGAAGATTCTCTATCAGATAAAAATATAAAATAATTATATTTCCTACAGTACAAGGTCGAAAAACGCGACTAAAAGTGCTAAAAAGTGACATTTTGCAATTTTTGCCCATTTTATTCAATCGCGAATATCTCGTAAACTAAAAGAGATAATTAGGATCTGATCGCAGCGTCTTAATCTACGTACTTTTCTCTATCAGATAGGATAGTTAAAAGGAAATCTGAGAGATGAAATTTTAAGTCTTAAGAAAAAATTGCCAAGGGGGGGTGCTTGATACTTTTTTTCGACGATTTTCAAAAATTCATATCTCTTAAACTAAAAGAGATAGCTACCAACGAATTGTTGATTCTGAAAGATTGGAAGATTCTCTATCAGATAAAAATATAAAATAATTATATTTCCTACAGTAAAAGGTCGAAAAACGCGACTAAAAGTGCTAAAAAGTGACATTTTGCAATTTTTGCCCATTTTATTCAATCGCGAATATCTCGTAAACTAAAAGAGATAAATAAGATCTGATCGCAGCGTCTTAATCTACGGACCAATCTCTATCAGATAGGATAGTTAAAAGCGAAATCTGAGAGATAAAATTTTAAGTCTTAAGAAAAAATTGCCAAGGGGGGGTGCTTGATACTTTTTTTCGACGATTTTCAAAAATTCATATCTCTTAAACTAAAAGAGATAGCTACCAACGAATTGTTGATTATGAAAGATTGGAAAATTCTCTATCAGATAAAAATATAAAATAATTATATTTCCTACAGTAAAAGGTCGAAAAACGCGACTAAAAGTGCTAAAAAGTGACATTTTGCAATTTTTGCCCATTTTATTCAATCGCGAATATCTCGTAAACTAAAAGAGATAAATAAGATCTGATCGCAGCGTCTTAATCTACGGACCAATCTCTATCAGATAGGATAGTTAAAAGGGAAATCTGAGAGATGAAATTTTAAGTCTTAAGAAAAAAATTGCCAAGGGGGGGTGCTTGATACTTTTTTTCGACGATTTTCAAAAATTCATATCTCTTAAACTAAAAGAGATAGCTACCAACGAATTGTTGATTATGAAAGATTGGAAAATTCTCAATCAGATAAAAATATAAAATAATTATATTTCCTACAGTAAAAGGTCGAAAAACGCGACTAAAAGTGCTAAAAAGTGACATTTTGCAATTTTTGCCCATTTTATTCAATCGCGAATATCTCGTAAACTAAAAGAGATAAATAAGATCTGATCGCAGCGTCTTAATCTACTGACTTTTCTCTATCAGATAGGATAGTTAAAAGGGCAATTTGAGAGATAAAATTTTAAGTCTTAAGAAAAAAATTGCCAAGGGGGGGTGCTTGATACTTTTTTTCGACGATTTTCAAAAATTCATATCTCTTAAACTAAAAGAGATAGCTACCAACGAATTGTTGATTATGAAAGATTGGAAAATTCTCAATCAGATAAAAATATAAAATAATTATATTTCCTACAGTAAAAGGTCGAAAAACGCGACTAAAAGTGCTAAAAAGTGACATTTTGCAATTTTTGCCCATTTTATTCAATCGCGAATATCTCGTAAACTAAAAGAGATAAATAAGATCTGATCGCAGGGTCTTAATCTACGGACCAATCTCTATCAGATAGGATAGTTAAAAGGGAAATCTGAGAGATGAAATTTTAGGTCTTAAGAAAAAAATTGCCAAGGGGGGGTGCTTGATACTTTTTTTCGACGATTTTCAAAAATTCATATCTCTTAAACTAAAAGAGATAGCTACCAACGAATTGTTGATTATGAAAGATTGGAAAATTCTCAATCAGATAAAAATATAAAATAATTATATTTCCTACAGTAAAAGGTCGAAAAACGCGACTAAAAGTGCTAAAAAGTGACATTTTGCAATTTTTGCCCATTTTATTCAATCTTAATCTAAAAGCGATAGCTACCAACGAATTATTGATTATGAAAGATTGGAAAATTCTCTATCAGATAAAAATATAAAATAATTATATTTCCCACAGTAAAAGGTCGAAAAACACGACTAAAAGTGCTAAAAGTGACATTTATCAATTTTTGCCCGTTTTATTCAATCGCGAATATCTCGTAAACTGAAAGAGATAAATAAGATCTGATTGCAGCGTTTTTATCTTCGGACAATTCAATGCGCTAGTTAAATTCAATTTAAGGTATGAAATTTTAATGCATAAGAAAACGTGGGAGTCAGCTATACAATGGTCCTCGTACGGTGCCCTGAACACGAGTCACTTTTACTGCTGCCCGCTATTAAACTATACTCGCAAGCGACCAACGGATCAAAAAATATGGAAGATTTAAAAATTATCTATCTAAACAAACAAAACTAAACTAGACGAATAAACTAGACACAAAAATTGTTGTTTATTTACAAACGTTGATAAACCAACAATTTTTGTTTGATGCTAGTCCCATCTATGAATTATACTGTAAATAAAACAATCAAATTTTCAAAATTCACCTAAAATGAAAATAAAACCTCTCAGTGAGATGAAACAAGAATTGTCCTTGGCAATTTTTTATTTATGAATTACCCATTCTCGATCTCTCTTATTTTTCCAATTTGAATATCTTATCTTATAAAGAATTTTACAAAGATTTAGAATCTACAATCTGAAATAACTGGAATAAAAAAGCAAGACAAAAAGGGATAGGAATGGTTGAGGCGGAATTCCGCTGAATTGCAACTCCATGAACAACTCTTGCGCTTTTGTAAGCGAAGGAAACACTAAACAATTAATTTTGAGATGTATCAGTCGAGTACGCGACTACCTTATAAATTTGCAACACGCGGTGGAACGCGATAAATCAAAACAACGTAAATACTAATAAAGGACGCAGAAATTAAAACGAAAAATATAATTGAATTATAAACTTACCAATGCAGAACTCATGGGACTCCAAGGCACGGCCAATGCTGTAAATAAAAAAAGAAAACATAAGTTACAGCAAAAACATTTAATACAATTTAGTAATATTATAATCACACAACGGCGAAAAACAAACAATCTGTGCTGATTACTTAAAAGTATCGAGTACTTACACTAGCACAATTGGTCATCCTAATGATCATATCAAATCAACATGTGTGCGATACACTTCACCGGCATTTATGGACAATAAACGCGCAAACAGTAAATTATATTACTATAGTCGATTGATGATCGAATATAATGCGAATTTGGAAGTAGATGTCCGGACAAAAAATACGAGCCGCGTAAAATATTGTATCAACCAGATAGCGGCACGAAACTGGCTGCAAACTGTGCAAGCAACGACGCTACAGTTTATGATAAGAAAGCAAGAGATTCCGCATAGTGCGTCGATGGCACGCGACCATGTGCGAGAATCGCTTTGGCACGTTACCTGCGTTCAAAACTAAACTAAGAAGCGCCAACATGCGGCGTGAATTGATCTCATGCGTTGCATTCTCGCGGCGAATGCGATAAGAAAGTGTAAGTTGTGTTCAAAACAAACACAATTCTCGTGTCGAATGCTCGCGCTTGCTGATAGCTATAGAAATAAACAATACACCATTTTACAATTTTTGTTAATCAACGGACAATTCTCTATAAAATAAGATAGTTAAATTGGAAATCTAAGAGAAGAAAAAAAATCATCCTCATGCCGTTCCCTATATAGGAGTCACTTCTACCGAATGAGACTCAACTATACAATTGCGAATAATTGCAATTTAACTAAATAAACAAAAATATCAACGTTCTGGTCCTATTTAAGTCAATAAACTCGAATAGTGCATATCTTTTAAACTAAAAGCGATAGCCAACAGATTGAAGAATATGAAAATTCTCTACAAGATAAAAATGAAAAATAATTCTATTCTATGGGGTAAAAGGTCCAAAAATATGACTACAAGTGCTAAAATGTGGAATTTTCTGATTTTTGTCCAAAGATAAGAAATAAGATACAACCGCTTCGCTTGAAGTGACAACACATGCCATGCAATTTTAAACACATTGATGAATATAACAATCTATAAAACATTACGAAAATAAGATAATAAAGAAAAACAAACGGCAGAAACATAATGTGGTTGAGAATATTATTTAATTTACTTACTGGTTAGTACAGTAAACCTTTAATCGTAAACGGCATTTCGCGAACATCTTATAAGCGATAACTCATTAACGAGACACAACAGTCAGCAATAATCACTAAGAACACCGAAAGTAATAAGAGTTACCGAATTGAATTCGAAGAAAGGAGAATCGCGACGACCGCGTGCGAACCATCCGTCGCATACGGCGAAACTAATTTTATTCCTGCAGCGTGGGCAAACGATACACGCGGCGCCATCACACGGTCGCGTATATAGTACAAAACTATACACGAATATCGTACGCGAATCACCTGACAATAAGAGATAAGAACAAACCGTTCGAATTCCAGTGCGACGTGAGATCGCAAGGCTGTTTAGACACTACCACATACATACATTTGACGTGTATCACTATCACTACATAGTATAAAGTAAAGTCGCTTTTTTTTCCGGTCCCTTTGTTCGCTTAAATATTTGAAACTATGCAACGGATTTTGATGCCGTTTTTTTTAATAGATAGAGTGATTCAAGAGGAAGGTTTGTATGTATAATAACATCCATTAAATAGTGGAGAAGTACTGTTATTTTTGAGGTTTCTAATGTGATGTCGTAAATACAAAGTTTTCGATTATTCCCGTCTGATCTTTGTGCGATGCTTCGTAGCTTCCCCCTCCAAGCATAGACGTGTGTATGTGTGTACGTGTGGGTTGAAGTTGACCGGTTGATGTTTTTGTTTGGAGAAGGAAAGTCGCTTTCTCTGTCTGTCTCTTTGTATGCTTAAATCATTGAAACTACGCAACGGATTTTGATGCGGTTTTTTACTTCTGTGCGAAGCCGGGGCAGGTCGCTAGTGAAATATAAATGTTTGTTACGCTTTTTAAGTGTTCAAATTGCTTCGAAATAATTAAATCTTAACTCGGATAAAATAAAGAGAAACATTGGAATATAATTGATCAGTTTGAATTTATAATCAAATAGTAATCCCGGAATTTTGATTAAAAAAAAATAAAAAAAAAATTAAAATTCAAATTATGTAATTCAGATTTCTTATACTGAAAGATTTTACACAAATTATTTTAGCGATATTTAATTCGATAGAACAAGACGGATTAAAGATTAATCTCTACCAAATAAGTTAAATAATTTGGTAATTTAAGAGATGAAAGAAAGAAGGAAATCATAAGAAAAAATGGGCAAATGGGAGTCAGCTATACAATCATCCACGTACGGTGCCCTGAACACGAGTCACTTCTACCGCTGCCCTCGTACGGTGCCCTGAACAATAATTTTACAATTTGCCAACTTTTTGGGATAGTTTAGATGCACGTAAACGTCTAAATCAACAGCATAATAGCATGGAGCTGGTTCAAAGCGATAAAATAATTGTTTATACACAAACCTCGATGCAGCCGGAAGTGATCATTAACATGATAACATATAGTTCAAACTACATAATGAAAAATCGTAAAAATCGATTTGTTAAGGATATGACAAGTTCATTAAATGAACCACCTCTATTTCAGCAATGAGACTAGTTCAAATCAACTAGTAGGTCAAATAAACAAATGAAATAGAAAACTGTTTTCGCACAACACTTCGAAACAATTGTGACATATAAAAAGATAGCCTTCAATAAAAGGAAAATTATTTGAAATTTAAATTTCCATTTGCGCACTTCACGAATGCTAGAGTATGCCCCACCTATGTTACAGTAGCTGGCAGTGGGTAATCGGTTGTAAATACAGAACGCACCAGTCAGTGAGAAATCTGGAACGTTGTAAAGTACTCGAGGTTGCCTATCACAAAACCTGTCATTTGTTATTTTATATGCTATTTTATAAGTCGCGACGTATCAGATTCAATTAATACCGTACTCGTAATCTAGATTGGTTTTAATTTTAACCACAAGCTTCCTATTAATGTCATTAGGTAAATTGTTTCATTGTACATTGCAATCGTACTTGAATATTTTAAAAGTTAACAAAATCTTATTATATAAGATAACTTAACAAGTGAAAACAAATTAAGGCATCGCAATTTGTATTAGATTGCAACACCTAAATAGATTTTTATTGATTAAGATTCCATATCTAGAATCAAGTCAGATATAAACAAAAACTCTGGAAATATGAAAGATTCATAGGAATTTACTTCAGCAAAAAAAAATAAAGATTCCGTCAAAATGCTGATATGCCTAACGATTTCATCATAATTTCACTTTACAGAAAAGTAATTCGCAGTATGATTCAGTTCAAGAGACGTTATCTAATCGCACTAAATGGTAAATTCCATTTGTAACGGAAAAAATCAGAACAGGACGTGGAATAGGCGTTGCGTTATCGAAATGGAAAATGCGCTGAATTGTTTTTTGTTTGCTTGTTAACGTCGCGATGTTTTCGCGGGAAGACAACTGTTACTTTTTACTATAAAAAGTAAAAAAAGAAACGCACCGCGCTCGGCTCGCAAAATGCTAAAAATGGCAATAAACGTGCGCACAGGCTGACCGGGCGAAACGCTTAAAATAAGGAGGCCGACCTTATATAGCCATATTGACGTTTATGGGCCGATTAGTTGCCGATTTCGAGCTGGCATTAGAAATTTTTAATGCCTGGATGTTTGCGCTGCAGACCTGCAGTTTCGAAATGAAAATCGCTTTCGGAAAATTGAGATTTGCGCTGTGTCTGCGCGTACACACTGCAGGAAAGTCGCCATTGAAATTGTAACTTCTTCAAGCAGGCTGCTAAAAACGCACGTTCACATCACCACAAAATGTTAGCAGTTTTATGTAAATCGGATTTGAAGTCAATATTCTAAGTTTAACAAGGCAAACATTGACCTTGATAAAAGTGCACATGAATAAATGTATGAACTAGAATGGAGTCATTCATTCGTCAAGCGCAGTGCAAGAAGAATTAAAATTTCAAGGCTTAAATTAAGGTTTAATCGGCGCATGGTTTTAGGATCGCGGCCACTAATTGCGCGATTGGTTTCGGACTGTTAAATGTTGGTAATTATGATTTTCGTGCGAAGTAAGTTCATAAAAGATTGATAAACGAAAAAAGGCGCACGCATTTGCGCCAAAGCTAATTAAGTTAATTATGAAATTGTTCGAAAAACGGCTCGCCGCAGACAGGCGGGCAGCAAGCGGGCCGCGAAGGAGGTCACTAACCGAATTAAACCGAAAAATCAACGCAACAACAATAAGCGCGTCAAAGGCGCGAAGCAACCAAACGTCGAGGAGGAAGAAGCATCGCCGCGAAAGAATAGAAGAAGAAGCGCGCGGCTCGTGCGTCATGAGATTCATGAATTCTAGGAGAAACCGTCGAACAATATTGCATCGCACTTCAATACTTTTGGTAGCGATTTCGCGGCTTCTGTTGCGATTATCATGCGAACAGCGAACATATCAAATTAATTTCGACGCTTGAGACTTCGTCTTCGTCTTCGACGAATTTACATCGAGCCAACGTACAGGGTCGCATGTTAATGCGCTCTCGGGCGTTAGGCGTTTCCTGTCTGGGCTTGGGGCGTTGTACGGCGCATCGGAAATGAATTCTTTATTTTATTATTCCTTTTTTTTACCGGCGCAACTCGTATAATAATCTTACATCACGCCTGAAAAATGCCCGAGCATTGTAAAAACCTTGCCTACTTGAGACCGCAATAACAAGGCTTAATCAGGCTTACATGACTCAACAACCTATGGAATTTTCGCCGATAACAGCACAACATGAGATTTCGAGAGCACGTAATGCGAAGTAATTAAAGTTTACATAAGCCGCTAAATCGACGAATGAGATTGGCATCGATTAATCGATCGATGATCAACAAGCACGAGCCTTGATGGCATAACTAGTTGCGAGTACACCTCGCAATCATCTCCGGTGATAAGATTTCGATTGAATGTACGACGCAATAGCAACATTTATTTAAGTTTTTCTCGCGATAATACACGCGGAATGCATGAGATTCGTGTTTCGCATTGGTATTGTCGCTTGCATCGCTGCGCGTATTTCATTCTTCGCTTTGGGCCGTTTCGGTCTGTGCATCAGCTGTTCGCCGCCGCCCAGCATGCCCCGGCATGCCCATATAAGGCGAAAACGCGGCTGCTCTTTCAATTTCGTCCCCGAATTCAAACGGGCCAGCGAGCGCGCGCCTCGAAACCGGAGCGTGCGTACCTATCATACTTATGCGCGCATTGGCTCGTACAATGCAACAATTAACAATAATTTAATTAAATTAATTAGCTGACGGGCACCCTGCGCGGCCGCGCTCTACTTGCTCTTCCCATTATTTCCGATTTGCTTAAAGTCGCACCGGCATCGTCGCTCTCGATGCATACATTAATTTTTACCTGCGAATTACTCCAATTAAATAATTAATTAACGGCTATCAACTGTGTTGAAAGCACTTACGAAAATCTCCCAGTACACTCAAAATGCCTATCATTATTGTTTCGCGTTTTTTTTTTCATACTGTAAGTGCTAGATAACCAAGATAGTAGCATTTTAATATCGCATACCTTTGTTTTCGTACACGAAAATTAAATAACCCAAGTGTTTGTTTCGTTCGTAATCAATCGTCGTGAGTCAAGAAGATATTTCCCTTATCGTTGATTCCTAATTTCTCCGAAATGACAACATTAAATTCGACAAGCAAAAATCAACACAATCCACGACCGATTTAGTCATATCAGGCGCGCTGATTGACATGACTAAATCAATCGGTGCGATCGATGCCGAATCAAATCAGCTCGCTGCCTGATACCACCAGGGCCATATATGGACCGATTTGCGGCGAATGCCATCAATGGGTTAAACGTGCGTTATGCCAATTTGCACCATGTGCAGCACGTCGACAAGCCTTGCGACGCGCATATTTGTCATCACGCGTTACCTCACAGCTAATTTCTTCGTCCGGCTGGACCTTCGGCCGCGCCAAGGCTGACGCATGCAAATCCGAATCCGAGGCGTCATCACCATTCATGCTTTACAATGCTATTCCATTCCATGCGATCATATCATGCGCGTGTAACATTTTTCAAATGTTTGCGTTTTAATATATGCGCGCGCGGCGGCCATGGCGCTTTTAGCAATTGTCTACGACAACGCGAGCAGGTGACATAAGATTCGTCATCGATTCCCACAGCCGCGAATTATTTCTGATCATAATAACATTTGGAAATTCTGATCGGTAATAACGACGAAAGCTGGGGAGAGATATGCATCATCACTCCACTCGAGAATCAACAGTGAATAAGCGAATTCGCTAAATAACATTATCATTTCTTAGTTATTAGTCATTAATCAACAACTTCAACGTAGATTTTTAACGAGTATCGTGCCGCTGACGACGTACGATGTTTGGAAAGAAAATGATTGAATATCTTTATTTACACGCAGTCGAAACGATTACCATCGAGATGTCTGTGTTTTATGACATTTCCGGTTCCTCGCTTGCGCATACAAGTTTCAAAGCGTATGCAGTAGTCATTAGCGTAATTAAATTTAAATTATTAAGGCTGAAGTTGTAGCAGAAGTACTAGTCTAGTCGTGATGAACTGACGAGTCAAAACATATTGAATATCTGGCTGCTGTTTATCGTTGTCGTGTCTGGGTTTTATGATGCTTGCGTTTCCGGTTCTTTGGGAATTTATTTGAGTGCATGAATGGAGATAACGATAAAGAATATTTAAAAACTTGGTACAGTCATGGAAATTTCGACAAATTTCAATAAATGTTTGATCTATCGACGGGATTCACAGAAATTCATGTAAACATTTATCGAAACCAACGAAACATGTGTTTCGCACACGAATTTTCATCATGTGGTACAATTCTGGTACTGTGTGAATGCGGTTTGTATGCATATCCGGCTCTCTGCATACCAAGATAATACAGTTCAGTGCCTTTTCCCTTCACTCTCCATGCCGCCTGCCAAGCCGACTTCAACTCATTTACTAATATATATCTTCATGCGGACAGCATGATAAAATGTCGACATTGCGCCGAAATGTTCGAGTGCAAAGTCGTCGTAAAACGCCAAAAACAAAACCAACCCCGGACTACATGTTTCTCCAATTTGGAGTTTCGGACAGTGACAAACATGCCTGGATAATATCGTCCCTTTGCCCTCGTCGGCTGACTGACATTTCGTGCTACGTGCCTCATGCGGCGATCCCAACAATCGCATCTAAACGAAAGCAAAGGAAACGAAATTATTTGACCGGTGGAAGCCCGCAGGCATACAGCCTACCCCAATGTTTGGACAAGTGCCACGCAACGACGTGGCACATTCTAGGGCGCTTCCCCAAAAATCAACCCGCGTGATTTTTATTCAATGAGTCATTCTGAATCACCCCCGAATCGAAAAGCATCGGAGGTTGTTGAAGAGCGAGGGTGGCAAATACGATGCGGGGTGGCTTCGAAAAATGCTCTCTCTTGCCAAACAAATAGATATATTCCCATTGTACGGCGCTGGGCAATGTGTGCGTAACATTAATGCCCTCGTAGACATCATGAGAGAGATGATGTGGCGACGTGTCGGAGGAATCGAGTCATGTATCGATCGAGGCGTCGTCGCGCAGCCACGCGATACTGATGCACCTTTCGGTGTTCACTAGGTCGTCTTGGAAGTTGCACGGCTGCCTAGAGCCGCGCAGACTAGACTACGGGCAGACGTGGCCCAGCCCAGCCGGGCGCAAAAAAAAGCTCTACAACTGCAAAACGCGCAAGGCGGGCGGCGAGCGAGCGGCCGCAGCCCTACGCGGATCCCTTTTCTCGCCAATCTGTCCGCCGCCTTGCATCGTGTTTCTCATGTTGTGTCTGCCAGCCAACAAAACGAATCCAATAAGACACACAGTCAGTATATTCGCAGGCCAACGAGTGGGCTACGCGGAATCGAGATTTCTAACGATTTCTTCCAACGACGACGACGACGAGGAGAATATAATAGTTATGCTAATGCGACCGCTAATGCCGAACGGCAAACAATAAAACGTGTAAATTCTCGCCGACTTGCGTTCTCGCGATGAGAACGCGAAGCGGCGAAACTGAATCGAATTGCTCCAGATCCAGAAAAACGCGAGCGGAGAAAGGCGGGAGCGCGACGCCGATACAAAAATAACTGTCAGTCAAGTTCAAGGCTTCCCGGCGGCCCGGCTCGACCGCACGCTGCTCTCGCATCCAACCTGTTATGTGCGGCTGCATTGCACCGTCGAGATGAATCTCCTCGCATGCGAAATATCCAGCCATGTTTACGGTCCGGTCAGAAAACCACCGGACGAACCTGAAATCCCGCCCGGCATGCCGCTAGCGATCGGTGAAAAGCAAGTTGCACTTGCCGTATACCTAAACCTCCTACCTGATAACTTGATTTGTTTCTAAACAAGTAGAAAGAAATAGCAGTACCTGCAGAAGTGCAGAAACAATCTATGATAAGTTATAGCCTGCATTAGAAACGATGGCGAAGAGTGAAACTTTGCTAAACTTGCAGGCAATTATGTTATACCATGGCGGTTTTTTTTTTATGATGCGGCTTTGCACGGCGACAGTACCAATGCTCTGGCGTTATCATCGGGTGGGTTCCGTAACGGTCTGCCGTTTGAAAACGCCGCAGCACGCCGGCGGTACTCCGTCCAGCCGAGCGCCAGCCAATCGAACGCCAGGATTCCGTTTATGCCCATATATGGTAACGTTCGGCGTGCTTCCAGCGGCTCTCACACAAACACACCGCCCCACTACTCTGCAACACTGCCTCCGAGGTTGCCATGTCGAGGGGAGTCCGCTGGCAGCGCCGCATGTGCCGGCCATGAGTACGATGAAAAATGTGAACATTCACTATTTCCCTCGCAGGTTTTTAACTGATGATAGACATGTCCCTACATCTGGTTAACCAGCAGATTTTCACAGAATTTGGCCACTTCCGGTGTCAATGGTACCTTTTTGCAGATTTGAATTGATGGGCGAGTCCATTTGGCCCGCGCACGGTGACACGGCCTGCGCGCGTGTTGGTGCGCGCCTGAAGAGCCGGCATCATCGGCGCGCTCGCATCGCCCCACGTCGCCCATTCGTTTGTTAACCGCCTGTTGTGTGACGTGTCCCGTGCATCTCGTCTCCGTACGTCCAACTTCTCTCCGCTTGTTCCGCTGATCAGCATAAAACGTAAGTTCTAACACACGCACCCCCGTATGTATATATTCCTGAAGAGCCGGTTGAAGCGGCGCGCTGCAAGGTGGTCGCACGCCTTTTCGCCGGCCGGCGGGTTATATTTAGCCTGGCGGCCACTTGTTCAGGCGCCGACGACGGCGTGTTCGCAAATGCCGGCTTGCGACGCCAGCCGGTGGTCGGCGGCCACCACGCCGACTGCGTCTAATCGGGCCGACCCCGCGCCCAAAATGTAATCAACGATGCGTTCAATCTGCATTATTCATATTTTGTTTGTTAATTACTCATCCATACAATATATCTATTCCGCCGCACCTTTGCGGCGTTGCGTTCGAACTGTCGCGGAAAATCCAATGCATGCCACATTCCAATAAGACCCAATAGGGACCACCCTTTAAAACCGCATGGAATTGGTATTTTTCACCAATATAGCGTTAATTGTAGCTCTAGTATTCCTATTTATCCAATAGGACTACTCGCGGTGCTAATTTTTACTTTATCGCACGGTGCGATTAATCTACGCATAACTTTTTCTGATACAAGTGCGACAATACGAACGTGGAACGATAGCGGGCATGAGTCAATTTTACTATCGTGGCGATTCCGAAAAGGCGATGTTCAAGACCATATATGGTAATATTGTGCGCTCCGTGCGCGCCATCTTTCTCTTCGAAAGCGCCGCCTCGTTGCTCACATTCGTGCCGTGCCGTGCCGCGCCGCGACAGGGGTGGGACGCCGGCCCCTTTATAAGCTGTGCCCACGTCTGGTTCGTCAGTCAGTTGAGTGTCTGTCGTCTGCCAGTCGTGCAGTGCATCCTCCGCTATCACGGAATACTATTTATTTTTTACTAAACTTTTTACCAATAAAAACGTAAGTGTTCTCCATCGACATTGTTAATATTAGTTCAATTTAAACGGAAGAAGTTCAGTTCGGGTTTGCGAATTAGTGCCGTTGCTGGTAATGAATTATCCGTTGGTGAAGCGCGTGGTTTGCCCGTAATCAACCGGCGTTTCGGGGTGTGGCACCCATCTTTGAGAGCGTCCGGTATTTGAAATTCGAGGCTTCTGCATCCAAATCAATTTAATTGCATTCAATTTCAACCTCAATTCAAAATTCAGTTGCATTGTTTCATCAAAGTGATCAATTTTCAAGAGTTTATCCAAGTTATGCATGCCATGCCTTTGCAATTTTGAGTGTGAATCGTGGCCGGTTAGCCGGTGGTTGTACGTAGTTGTAGCTTCGGACGCTTTCGGAACGCCGTGTGATGACGTAGCGCGACGCATAGTAGCGTGACGTAGCTCCGACTCATGAATGAATAGCTCAATGGTTTGCCTTGGGCGGGGCAATGTATAAGCATCGCGTTCGAACTGTCGCCCGGGCGAAATTCATTCACTATTATCGCAAACACGTTGCAATTTGCCGGCATCCTCTCGCCATGCATTGAAAACTAACCTGTATTTTTTTCTTTACTTGCAGTAATCTAACAAAATGTGTGACGAAGAAGTTGCCGCACTCGTCGTTGACAATGGATCCGGTATGTGCAAAGCCGGTTTCGCCGGTGATGACGCGCCTCGCGCCGTCTTCCCCTCGATCGTGGGCCGCCCGCGTCATCAGGGTGTGATGGTCGGTATGGGTCAGAAGGACTCGTACGTAGGTGATGAGGCCCAATCCAAACGTGGTATCCTCACCCTGAAATACCCGATCGAGCACGGTATCGTCACCAACTGGGACGATATGGAGAAGATCTGGCATCACACCTTCTACAATGAGTTGCGTGTTGCCCCCGAGGAGCACCCCGTTCTGCTCACCGAAGCCCCGCTCAATCCCAAGGCCAATCGTGAGAAGATGACTCAGATCATGTTTGAGACATTCAACACCCCAGCCATGTACGTCGCCATTCAGGCCGTGCTCTCCTTGTACGCTTCCGGTCGTACCACCGGTATCGTGCTTGACTCCGGTGATGGTGTCTCCCACACCGTACCCATCTACGAAGGTTATGCCTTGCCGCATGCCATCCTTCGTCTGGATCTGGCTGGTCGTGACTTGACCGACTACTTGATGAAGATCCTCACTGAGCGTGGCTACAGCTTCACCACCACCGCCGAGCGTGAAATCGTTCGTGACATCAAGGAGAAACTCTGCTATGTCGCTTTGGACTTCGAACAGGAGATGGCCACCGCTGCCAGCAGCAGCTCGCTCGAGAAGAGCTACGAGCTTCCCGACGGTCAGGTCATCACCATCGGAAACGAGCGCTTCCGTTGCCCAGAGGCTCTCTTCCAGCCCTCGTTCCTGGGTATGGAAGCCTGCGGCATCCACGAGACCACCTACAACTCCATCATGAAGTGCGACGTTGATATCCGTAAGGACTTGTACGCCAACACCGTCTTGTCTGGCGGTACCACCATGTACCCAGGCATCGCTGACCGCATGCAGAAGGAGATCACCGCCCTCGCCCCGTCGACCATGAAGATCAAGATCATCGCACCACCGGAGCGCAAGTACTCCGTCTGGATCGGTGGCTCCATCCTTGCCTCGCTGAGCACCTTCCAGCAGATGTGGATCTCCAAGCAGGAGTACGACGAGTCCGGCCCGTCCATCGTCCACAGGAAATGCTTCTAAACTGCTGCTGCTTTGTTTTCACATGCAGATCAGAAATTTTTAATTCTACACATTTATTTAATACACGATTCATATACATATAACAACAATGCGACGATTCCAAAATGCACATTCCAGCTGGGAGAAAACCCCTAAATCGCCACCACACTCTACTTTCGTTCTCAACTTCTACTGCCATCGGAGCGCCGGCAGTAGCGCGCTCTACCCCTCCCCACGCCAGAAGTTCTTTCGAAGCCAAAGCATCAACGTCCCAAATCCCTTGCCTAATCGCCCAATTCCCGTTCCCGGCGAACACTACATCGATTAATTTTGCTTTTTACGACATACACGTACACTACTATATTTATTGATTGTATTAGAACGACGAGAAGCCAGGCGTCGCTAGACTAGCGCGAGACACTGAATGTTAGCCCGACGGAACATCCAAGTCGACGACAACAGATAACAACATTTATAATTAATTATTAGGTTAACTTGGGATATAATAAAATATAAAAGAATATCGAGATGCATTTCTACCTTCTGCAGCCACTTTTCTTTCAGCGCATGGATAACGCAACGCCAAACCAAGCCGAACATCAAGAAAATCGCTAAGTTTTAAAAAGTTCATGACTTGCTTCAATTAAATTCATTTGCTTGCCATTTCATGCATGCCAGAATACTTTGAAGATATTAATTTAGAAAGATAACTAATTAAAAATACACTCGAGTTTGTTTTCGCCATTTTTATTTGTTTTGTTCTCTAATAATAATTCTGTTGCTTACCGTCGCTGCGAAGAATGCGGAATGTAGACAAACGATGAAACTTTGGTCGTGTTGAGGTAATGTCCAATTGGTGTTAACTTCTCACAGTATTATAAATCTAGTCTTTATCGTAGTATTGAAACAATAGGTAATATTGAATTATTTATTACTTTATTTGGCGAATACGTAATCCATTTTTATATTTGAAATATTTATTTATAATTTTTCGTGAATATTGGATTCACAATTTATATTTAGAGTTGACATGTTTCGCCCAGAAGGCATCTTCATAAACTGTTCATAAAATCCAATCCAATATTCACGAAAAATTATAAATAAATATTTCTAATATTGAATTAATTAATATAGATTCACTTTAGAAGACGCGGAACACGAGATGTCTTGCAATCCGATATTCAACTAATACTAAAAGACTAACAAACAACGCACGCCGAATAACAGCGTGCTGATAACAAGTGTTACCTGCGCAAAGACGGGTACGCAGCGCGCTAGTCTCTTGTTTCTTGTGGGTAACACGTAAATAACATCCGATGTTATGTTTACATTTCTAGAAACACAAGCAGCATATCTATTGGATTTGATTCTCGTATGATAAGGTCGAAGGAAAGTCAATTTAATGCGAATTCGCGCATACAGGCGCCATCTTCGGTTAAATAAATTTGTTATTTTTGGGTATGGCCGTTTAGGTGCGTGCACAAGGCCAGTGTTATCGCCAAACACCTCATTGAACAAACAAAACATGCTTAGTATACGCGATTCGAATTTAATTCAAATCTTTGCAGAGTAAACTTACTCGTCACTTTAAAATCGTAGACTAAATTAAACTACCTACGAAATCATAATCAAAATTCAACGGTTTTATGAAGGGATTTCAAAAGATGCATGGCCGCCATTTGAATTTATGTACTTTTACATTTAATGCAAACAATATGCCGCGGCCACGCTCTGGTTTATTAACAAACACGAAAAGTATGCCCAGCATTTATTTCAGCTCACACGGGCCTGGATGCAACTTTTTAACGTGCAGTGACTGCGGGCTTGCAGCCGTTGCCAATATTTAGTGTGCATTGACTCAAACAACTAACTAATAACGGTTGAATAGGTCTGCATCACTTAATGCAGTAGTCAAATAGAATATATTCAAGGAAAACTTGCCATTTACCTTAATGCACCCTTGTGCTCTATCACTGGTAACAAACAGCTCAGTCATATGTACGAGTACTAGCAAGTATTGAACTCTGCTTCGAATCAAATGTAAATTTTGGTGCAGCACGTGAACTGGATGTCGACGATGACTACATTGTTTTAACCGTCGAAATTTAACGGTTTTTGCTGATGCCAAAAAAGCGCACCAATCAGTTGCCTAGTTAGACGATTAGCCCCGGGCACGCACGAAGTTTCAAATGAAGAATATGCGCATTATGCAACACTAAATTCGCAATAAATGCATTATTTTGCTTATTGTAACTCAAGCAATTATTAAATAAACATTAAAACTGTCTTAATCAGTGCTAATTAATTATATGCGTTGCAGAGCATTGCCATTTAACCGAATAAATAAACAATTATGCCAATAAACACTTGAGTAATATGTGTATTAAATTTCAGTTAAGAATTTAATGCACAGAAGTTAAAAACGTGCTTATATTTGTTTACATACAAGAGTTCTCTCGTGCGGTGTTATCGCCGTTTATCTCTATGCACGTTCACTACCACCAACAAACAACCTCGTGTTGCTGCAAAAGAACAAGTTTCGCGTATTTTTTATTTCAACCGACATCGCAGCGCCATCTAAATTCACCTACGGTTACTATAACTCGTCTTTGAAATTGAGAAACTTATCTTTGTTAACTTCTTTAAACAATCGTGTAAAGCGCCGGAAACGTGACTAATTACTAAAATGTGTTGATTGTAAACCGTTTATTGGTAATAATTATTGTTACAATGTATAATTAAGTGAGCCCGAAACCCCAAAAAAATTAAGTAAATACAAAAAGATAATAGAGAAAAAAAACAGACGATGAAATACATCAATTAATTAATTCGTAAATGCTTCATATGTAATAGGTATGTACAAAGATTAATCAACCATTTGACATCATTTCATGTATAAAATAAAATGCAGAGTGTAGAAAGTAAAGATGAACATAAATAGTAAAAAGGAATCAACGCCACTCGCGATTTGGATCCGATCACGTAAATTTTCATACTGAATAATAATAATAAATTGGCTAGCACCTACGTTGTTGATAGAATATGTAAAACTCGTATCGAAAGACTACATCATTATCAAAAATTCCATACAAATCGTGTAAAATTACTTGCGTTGCTCTCCGTCATTGCAATATGTATCGTATAAATTTCTTAGCTCCACGTTTAAATAACTCTTCTTCTTGTTGCGTTGATTATTAAATATGTTTCGCGCGCAGAGAGGAGAAAATAATATTTTTATATATAAACGATAAAAAAAAATTAATAAGATAATCATTTTAGTTGTTTAGCCCGCATGTGAACCGCACTCCAAAAGCATCCTCGTCTGTCCATCGTGTTATTCGCTAGTTGCTGCGGGGGGTTAGCTATGTATATAAATTATTAAAAATCATTGTCAATTCGTGATTGGTTATTGTTCGGGCGCGCTGCTGCTAAGTACTGGTGCGCACGCTGGGAATTATTTACATGTTCGCTGCGCTGGTTGGGGGCGGCGCTGGTTCGTAGGCCCCAAAAACTGCCTAATTCTGCTGGTCTTCGCTATCCATGCTCTCGTCCTGCGCCGAGTCGTCGCCGGAGCCGTTACCGCTTGCCGGCTGCAGCGAACCGCGCTTGACGCCGCCTCCACCTAGACGCGACGAGAGACCCACGCCTCCCGTATTCCTCCTAAAAAAACAACCAACTTATTAGACTCTCATCACGCATTAAAAACAAAAAACTTATACACGCGCATTGAAAAACATCAAAATCACTACACTGCAGATAAAAGAGCGCAAGACCGTTTCATGTTATGGTAAAAATCAAGCAAAAACAAAACATTATATGTTGAAGCATCGTGTGTGTTTAAATGTTGCCGAAAAACACACAAAACATGCCAATGTTAGTCCAACAAGCACGCACCTGTGACATACCACGTTTTATGCTAAATTTCTAAGTAGAAATTAATTATTCGTAATATGTAGGTAGCTATAGAGTAGTGATATTTCATGTTTTCCAGCTGGAACTAAAAGAAACAGCATGGTTTACTCATCTGATGGCAATTCCAAAACAACGCACGCTTTGGTCATATACATTCGTAAATAATGAAGGAACAGGAACAGGACTTACACGAACGATGATGATATCAGGAGAGAATGTCTGGAGAAGGTGCGCGACGTCCTACTAAAGTAAATAGGAGGTAAGGATGTGAACAGGATGGTTAGGTTGAAAACGTGGCTTACCTCAGTTTGCTTTTCAGGTTGCTGACTTCACGCGTGAGCGTCTCGTGTGACTCGAACATGTCCTCGCACTCGCGCTGGAATTTGCGTTTCTGCGCCTTCTCGCGCGAGATTTCCTCTTCGGCCTCGTCCAGCTGGCGCTTGAGCATCTTGACGCGTCCGTTGACCTTCTCCAGTTGCTCCTTGTACTGGTCGGCGTGACGGCGTTCGTCCTCCAGCTGCATCATCAACTCCTTGAGCTTCTTGTCCAGTTTGCGGTTGGTCTTCTGCTGTGCGAAGCGTTCCTTCGCTTCGACCTCTAGTTGTTCCTCGAGGTTGGCGATCTTGGACTCAAGCGCGGCGATGGTGGCCTTCGTCTTGGTACGTTGCGAAGTCTCCAGCTCGGCGAGCTTGGCCTTCAACTCCTTGTTCTGGCGTTCGAACTGTAATCGCAGTGATTCCTGCTTGGCGGAAGCAGAGCGCTCGTTGGCCAGTTCGCCGGTGAGCTGGTCGAGGGATAGTTGCGCCTTGCGAGCGCGATCTACCAACACTTCATTGTTGCTCTGTTCTTCTTCAAGTTCTTCTTCCAAGGTGGCGATGCGAGCCTCCAAACGGCGTTTCTCATCAATCATTAGGGTTCCTACATTATAAAAATAAAAGTTATATTTATACACTGACTAGAATTTTTATATATAATCAATACCTTTATTGGCATTACTATTCATTTCTTCTTGGAGCTCATCGCGTTCAGCTTCCGCAGCACGTCTCGACCTCTCCGAAGCCGCAAAGTCCTCAGTCATCTGCAGTAAATCCGCCTCCAGGGTCTTCACCTTGCGCTCGGCATCTTTGCTGGCAGCTGCGTACTCCTCACGGGCAGCACGAGCTTCATCCGCATCACGAGTCGCTTCCTTGCACTGCTGTTGACTCTTCTTCAGTTGCTTCAACGCGTCTTCCTTGTATTTCGATTGAAGCTCAACTTGCGCTTCCATCTCCTTCAAATCGCCTGCACCCAACATATTTAAATTATTTTCAAATATACTGACACACTGTCAAACTATGACAATTATTTAAATCCACCTACCTTCAAGTTTCTTTTTGCTAGCAACGGCAGCGCTCCTCTGTTTCCTCTCCTCGTCGAGTTCAGCCTCCAAGTCACGCAGTTGCTTCACAATTCCACGACGTTTCTCTTCAGCTTGCTCTTCCTTGGCCTGCACGTCACGTTCGAATTGCGTACGCAACGCCTGCATGTTCACCTCCAACCGAAGTTTGGCATCTTCGATGAGTTGTAATTCATCCTCGAGTTCCTCATTCTGCGTCTTCAATTCAGCCAATTGTGTTTCCAAAGCACGCTTAGCCTTTTCCAAATCATGCACGTTTTTATCAGCAGTGCCTTGGTTGTTTACAAGTTCATCAAGTTCAGCTTGCAGTTGTCGCTTGACGCGTTCCAATTCCTCGAGCTTCTCAGAGCTTTCATCCAACTCGCGGCTGAGGGACAACACGCGTGTTTCCTTCTCGCGTGCTTCACGTTCAATATTATCGCGTTCCTGGGCCATCCTCTCCGATACAGCTTTCTCTTCCGCTAGAGTCTTATCGAAGTTCTTCTGTTTCTTTTCAAGTTCGGCGACTTTTCCGCGTTGGGTCTCCAAATCAATGTTGGCATCTTCAAGTTCAGCAGCAATCTTCTTCTTGCTCTTCTCTAGTTTGTCATTGGCGACAGTCAACTCCTCAACCTGCCTCTGCAAAGCTTCCAAGTCCTTCGCGAGCTTCTTCTTACTCTCTTCCAAGATGGCAGACTGCTCAGCTTCCTCTTCAGCTTTCTTTTTGAATTCAATTAGCTGGGCGTTCAAAGCACCGAGTTGTTTCTCGAAGGTCTTCTTTTGTTCTTCTTCCTCGTCAAGCTGGTCACGCAGTTGCTCTTTCTCCGCTTCTAATTGACGCAGTTTTGAAGACAACGCCAACTTTTGCTTGGTTTCTTCCTCAAGCGCAAGTTGCGCCTCGGTGAATTGCGACTCAATCGTGGTTTGGCTCTTCTGCGCTGCGGACGCCTTCAATTCAGCTTCCTCTAACTGTTGTGCAACATTCTCAGCTTCCAACTGCAATTTAGCGGCCTTCTCAGCGAGTTCTTGTCGTGAGCGTTCGGTTTCGGCAAGTTTTGCTTGCACCTCGGCCAATTGTCCTTCAGCCTGCTTGCGGCGGCGGTCACCTTCCTGGCGGGAAGCACCAACATTCCTCAATTCCGAAGCAAGATCAGCATTCTCCGCTTCGAGTAGCCTTGGTCTTCTCCAACTGTGCCTTTGATTTCTTGAAGTTCTCCAGTTGTTCATTGATAGCCGCAATTTCCGTGGTGTGTTTATGACGCAATTCACTCATGGAGACTTCATGGGACTGCGTGTCCTCTTCAAGACTCTTCTTCAAAGTAGCAAGCTCCTGTTCGCGTTTAGAGCGCAATTCCTGCTGCGCGGCGGTCGTATCCAGTGAATCAAGTAATTCATTCTTGAGCGCTTCCAATTCTTCATTCAAGTCACGTCTTAGGCGTTCGGCTTTACCACGTGCAGCTTTCTCAGCTTCATGATCCTCTTGCAATTCGGTGAGTTGACTCTCAAGTTCACGCTGCGCTTTCTGAGCGGCTGCTTTACCAGCTGCTTCTTCATCAACCTAACCATCGCTTGTGCTAGTTCTTCTTCACGTTTTCCGAGCTGCAGTTGAAGGTCTTCCAACTGCGTGCGTTTCTCCTGCAACTGTTCCTTTAGGTCGTTTACTTCGCTTTCTACCTTCCTCTTGGAGCGATCGGACTCTTGGCGTTGTTGATGGTCCTTTAACAAACGCTCCTCTAACTCAGCAATGGACGCCTCGTGTTTTGCTTTCAACTTCGCCAAATGTTTCGCTTTCTCTTCCTCCTCCGCAAGAGCCTGCGATAAATCATTGCTCCTCTCTTCCAGGAGCTTCTTTTCCTTCATTAACTTTTGATTTGTGTCTTCGGAAAGAGCCACATCTTCCTCCAACTTCTTCAATTTATTGTCGCATTGAACCTTTTCCAGCTGCAATTTCTGCCTGGCAGCTTCTTCCTCCTCCAGTTGATCCTCAAGATCCTGAATAGTCTGTTGTAGTTTCTTTTTGTCATTACCAAGAGCATTCGCGCGTTCTTCTTCTTCCTCAACACGCGCTTCCAAATCATGCAAGATTTCCTCGAGTTCCTGCTTACGGGCAGTCAAACGTGCGCGGTTCTCTTCAGCTTCAGCGCACAGCTCTACTTCAGCTTGCAACTGTTCTGCGAGAATAGTCTTCTCCTCAATGGCCGATTGATACTTGCGTTCGTATTCCTGCGCTGCTTTCAAGTGCGAGTCCAGCTTGTCTTTCACCTGCTTCAGCTCGTCTTCCTTCTGCATCAGCTTCTCCTCTTGCTTGGTAACTTCCAGCAAAGGTTTGACCTTTGTGTACAACCGCCACCATTGCCAATTGCGCAGCTTGAGGTAAGCCGAGCAATTGCGTTGGATGATGCGAATTGCATTCAGCTGTTGTACACGCTTCTGGTAGTTTCTACGCGAGAGGAAGCCACGGCAGAATGCTTGGAAGTTGACGATCAGGTCGGTAATCTTATAATCACGCTCTTCCTCAAGCTGGGCTAGCACGCCAGCGCGGAAAAAGATTTTACTCTGTCCGATGCGATACAGATTGCTGTCGAGTTCAAGCGATTTGATCATCGTCTCGCATGCCTTCTTACCGTCCATGAAGCCCTTGTTGATCACATTGGGCGTGAGCAATTCGTAACGCTGGCGGAACTCTTGGAATGGGATACGATTCGGGAAGCCCTGTCTGCAGATACGGATGCCTTCCAGGACACCGTTGCAGCGCAATTGGTCCAGGACCAAAGGAGCATCGATTTTACCCGCGCGTTTCTCATGATTCGGAATTATACAACGCACAAAGTTAGGATTTGTGTTGCGGAGTGTTACCATAAGGTTAGCAAGTTGTTCCTTGTAGAGATAACTCACAGTACGGAACATACCTTTAGCGCGACCTAAAGATTCAGCATCTTTCCAGATATGTACCACGAATGGATCCTGGGATGCCTGTAATAGCGACACAACGTTCTCATTTTGCGGGTCCATGTTCTTCATCAACCACTGATCAGCGGAATAATCAACTTTGCCTGCATAATGAATGATACTGAAATCAGCAACGCCACGGAAATCGCTCTTCTTAAACTTCGGGTGTGTGGTGTGTGCAGAGACAAGTTTCTCAACGAAAGTTTTGTCCGTTGCTTTGGGGAAAAGGCACTCTTCGTCCAACAAAGCCATAATACCCATACTTTTATCTATAAGGTCAATGGTAGGCTGTAAATCAAGCCCAAAATCAATAAACTTCCATTCGATGCCTTCGCGTTGGTACTCCTCCTGCTCCAGAATGAACATGGTATGATTGAAGAGCTGCTGCAATTTCTCGTTGGTGTAATTAATACAAAGTTGTTCAAAACTGTTCAAATCAAAGATCTCAAAACCAGCAATATCAAGAATGCCAATGAAGGAAGCGCCTTGGCGTTTGGTGCGCCCCAGAGAGCGATTGATGCGAGTCACAAGCCATCGGAACATGCGCTCGTAGCATGCCTTCGAAATAGCCTCGACGGCGAACTCTACCTGCTCCTTCGTTTGACTCTTGGTGACAAAATCACGCCCCACCTTAATACGTGGCTTTAAGAACGCTTTGGTCATGTCAGTGACGGAAAGACCGAGTAGGTGTGCGATTTTCTGCGCGACAGTGTTGTCCGGAAGTGTCGCCTGGTCAGAATTACGATCCTGACGGAATTCCATGCGTCCGAATAGCATTACAGCGGACACAATGCGGAAGATAGCGGTGAAGTCCTCCTTGGTCATGCCCATGATGTTCATCGATTTGACTGTGTTGGTGAACTCCAGGGAATCGTCAACACCGGGAACGATGTGGTTGTCATCGCGTAGGAATGGGTAAGTCTTGGGTTCTTCCAGAATAAACTCTTCTGCAAGACGGAAACAAACAATATTAGACGATATTCTAAAATAAAAACAAGTTGAATAATACTTTTTTGTTCGGTGGACGCGCCAGCCAGCAACTGGTAGAAGATGTGGAAGGTCCGCTCGAATTTGGCTTGTCGTATGGCACGTGATTTCTCCAATAAGTAAGTTTCTATGTTGGCGCCGGCGATATAACCCGACGCATCGAAGTTGATACGAATAAATTTACCCTGTAATCATCGCGCAAATAATCAATACCCATGTGAGAAACTTGTGGGAAATTTTGTTTGTTGAAATGTACTTACAAAACGTGAAGAATTGTCGTTTTCACCGTTTTCGCATTGCCGAACGCTTCCAGAATGGGATTGGCTTGCAGAAGTTGCTGCTCCAAACCACCCTACAGACAGAAACACAGGATAACTCACAGATTTAGCCCGAGTGAGTCCGGAACGTGTGCAAAACATGCAAAAACAACGTGTTTGGCCGTATGTGCGTGTGCGTCTAGTCAAATCTAGATATATCATATAATAAAAAAAGCTCCAACATATACCGAAAACTCATTTGTAGGAAAACAGGAAGGAAATTCGCCGCTCAATTTACACATCTAAATAAACTAAATAACCAGCAGGTAGGATAATAATAAATCTCTAAAAATGTGTTTGTTTTCTTGTGATATGTAGAAATTTAGCAGGCAGCACTCGTTTATACATGGCCAATCGTCTGTTTCGTTTAATTAATTGTCGTGTTCAGTCAAAACAAACATGTGGCGCTTGTTTTGGTTGCGCACGGCGGCAGAGGTAAAGAAATAAAATACTTACAATGAGATCTTTGTGCTGCTCGGGTGTCGAATGTTTGCAAAGAGGCCCGGAACCCCGGAAAACAAGAGACATAGAAGAATGACACCAAACCAATCGTAATTTTGTTGTAGTTGAGTGATAATTTTTTTTGATATTTGTGTGTGAGAATGAACATGCAAAAAAGGTCAAAAGTAAGATCATTAAATACACAAGTTGTAAAAATAAAACATCAACGTAAAACATCATAATATCACCTAGACATGAGAATGAAACTTGAATAATGAATAAAATGCAGCGGTGAGGTGAAATGTTGTCGCTAACTTACCGCTCCTGATCCCTTTGGCGACTTGGAGGCGGCAACGTACGCCAGATACTGTATCACCTTCTTGGTGTTTTCTGTTTTCCCAGCGCCGGATTCACCCGTACACAAAATCGACTGATCCTCACGATCTAAACATAAAAATGTAAAAAGTTACAAAAATTCTTCATGTTATTGAAGTGATGTTGAATTTACCTTGAAGCATTGAACGATATGCAGTGTCAGTGATGGCGAATACATGCGGGGGCACTTCATGTCGCTTGATACCCTTATACCGTTCCATGATCTTCTCCGTGTAGATGGGCAATTTTTTGTAGGGGTTGAACACCACGCAGAAAAGACCTGAATATGTCTATAAAGAAAAACAACACAAAAAACATCAGAAAATTGTTTTAATTCGGTAAAAAATCGCTGAAAATTAAATTAAAATGAAAAAGAGCATTGGTATTGTCGTCGAGAATATTTCTACGTGAGTCTGCGCGATCTGATGGAAACGGAGCGCGCTACCATTTCGAGCGTAAGTAATTGCGCGTTTGTTCTTGGTTTTACCAAATCGGAGGAAAGCGAACCGCGCCAGCCCGCTGTATTTAGCTATTTCGGATTATGTATTAGTTTGGCGCTTATTTGGTCATGTCGACCGGCCGCACATCAAAGCGCTGCCTTAATGTGCGCGGCACACACATGTTCGATTAAAACATTTCGAAAACATTACTCAGAAGCTGAAATATAAATATAGATCCCGGCATGCCGCCGCAAGTCGCATAATTATTTGTTTATAACTACCGCCATGTCGAAAATTCGCGTGTCTGCGGCATAATTTGATGAATTTTATGCGAAAACCTGGTATTATACTGGCTCCTTCACCTTGGCCGCATAGAAAACATAGAAATTTTCAATTTTTCAATGTGAAAACTTCTCTGGGGGCTTTTTTACTCGAAAACTGAGCGCAAAAAGTGTTTTTTTCAATTTTTCTTCGAAATACGCATTAAGGATGAGCCATGTCAAAAATTCGCGTTTTTAAATAATAATTTTATGAATTTTATTAGAAAAACTGATATTATGCATGTTTTTCACCTTGGCTACGCAATAAACATAGATATTTTCAATTTTTCAAAGTGAAAACTACTTTAGACGAATTTGCAGCTTTTTTTACTCGACGATTGAGGGCAGAAAGTGTTTTCCGACTGCTTTTCTTCAAGTTTTCTTCGATATTGTTATGAAATACGCATTAAGGATGAGCCATGTCAAAAATTCGCGTTTTTAAATAATAATTTTATGAATTTTATTAGAAAAACTGATATTATGCATGTTTTTTCACCATGGCCACATAATAAACATAGATATTTTCAATTTTTCAAAGTGAAAACTACTTTAGACGAATTTGCAGCTTTTTTTACTCGACGATTGAGCGCAGAATGTGTTTTCCGACTGCTTTTCTTCAAGTTTTCGTCGAGATTTTTATGAATCACGCGTCAAAAATGCGCCATGTCAAAAATTCGCATTTTTAGCTCAAAATTTTATTAATTTTATGCAAAAATCTGATATAATCCTTGCTTTTTCACCTTGTCCACATAATAAACATATAAATTTTTAATTTCTCCAAGCAAAAACCTTTCTATGCTTTTTACTCGAAGGTTGCGCGCAGAAAGCATTTTTCCGCTGCATTTCTTCAAGTTTTTTATTAGAGATTGTTATGAATCACGCGTCAAGCATGTGCGGTGCGGTATCAATCCGAAGTCAAGCACGCGTACCGACTGCAAGTCGCTGTTAACGAGCGTTCGTTAAAAGATTATTGTTTAAACTAGTTGTGCCTGCCAACCCAAGGTAGAAAACACTTAGTTTTAATTGTCGCCGACATCATTCCGCGTCGTCTTTGTCATTGTCATCGCATTGTTTTTGTTGATTCTTGCTATTAAAGCAGTGTTCCAATGTTTTGTTTAAATTATTTCGTCGCATAGCCGAAAATTAAAACAAAAAACATGTGACGCACGCCTCCGGCGCGGAATATTCATTTGCTTCAACCTAAAAAAAAGCAGCAGCGGATATCGCACCGCGCTTATCAGCCGAAATTTTTTCTTATTTCCAAGTAAAACTTGTACGTGTACTCGAAATATGCGATTAATAAAAGTTGTATTGACTTCTAGTTGATTTTATTTTATTTTATCTTGAGTTGTAATAGAATTGTCGCTCGGAGATTAATAAAACGTAAAAATTTCGGCGTTCGATTAGCGCGATTAGTCGCCAGTCGTAAATTTGTTTGCGTCGTTTGCACTTTAAACGGCAAATGTGCAAACTGCGAGGAGTGCAAGATAACACCGAGCACCGGCGGCTTTCATCTATTCAATTATTCCTTTCGGCAGAGCGCCGGAGGTCAATAGTCAAGCAATTAGTGCACGATGCGAGCGCAAACCGCGCAAAATCAATCGTGGTGGATGAAATTCGTCGCTGAAATCATTTGTTTACACAGCGCTTAATTTCAGCATAATTAGGCGAGTTGACCGCACAGGAAATCCGTGGCACGACCAAGATTTCGACACGTAGGAACATAACCAAGTGGTTTTGGGAATACGGAAGGAACGATGACGGATTGTGTAAATTTCCCGACGCGGCAAACACACACAAAAAACATCAGTTTTTCGAAAGCGTTTGATGACTAGACGCCGCGCACGAACTGGAGAGATGACTCAGTATGTAAATATTCGTAAACTGGTAACCCGCTTTTTTGCGCTGTGCCTGCCTGCTTTGCTTGTTCCTTGCCAACGTGCGCATATTTAATTTAATCATTTAATTACACCGATGACTGCCGGCATGGTTTTATCGTGCGATGCGTGAAATCGCGTCCTATAATCGCGAACATTTATTTTCCTGATGCGATAATACGCGGCAAACATTTCTCTGCTCACACACACAACGCGAGTGATAAATGTTTTACTTTCCGAACATATTTTTTTTATTGCTGCGCCAGGCAGTTATTGTCGCTTAAGCGCACAATTAATGATGTGCATCATTAACATATTTTACTGCATGTATGCAACATGTCGAAAGAATTTAGGACAATGCAATCGCTGCATATTTAAAAAAAAAATTCAAATCTGATTTTGGTTGATTTTAGAGTTAACATTTGCTTAAAAGCTCATTGTTTTCCCATCAGCTTGTTGGCTCTCGTCGCGTCAAACAGGAATGCGTCTTTCTTTGTGTTTGACTTAACTTGACTTAACTTAAGTCAACGCGCCGAGAGTCAATCTGTTTGCTTGGGCATGTCTCATTCGCGCTTAATCCACACTCATATATATACATACATACGAATGTGTTTAATAAAAAACAATTAATCAATTGACGCCGGGTCGGTCGCCCCGAGCCGAAATCGTCGCACGTGGGCGTTCGAAGTTCTTTTCACGCCGGCGTGCGGCTTCCGCGTGAGCAATAGCGCGCGGCGACGCATCGCGCGATGGAAAACTCGTCGACGCATCGAGGTCCTGTCAACGCAGGTCGCAAAGGGTCGGTGGTAACTGACGCAAAGCGTGCAGATGTTTTCTGCGCGTGTGATCGAGCGCACTGGGACGCGAAACTCGTATTAAACGGACCACGGCCATACATGGACGTGGTTGATGAAACAGCTGTTCGCAGGCGCGCGCGCGCGCGTGATTTTGCCCAAAAGTAGTCTTATCGTAACACTTGTTACGATTTCGAAATCGCGGCGCAGCCGCAGCAGTGAATGTGCGCCTCGGGTGCAGTACGCGATACGGCGAGTTTCCCCGAAGTCTTTGTTGGACACAGGACGGTATTGTCAGCGCGGGGGCGAGGCACGCCGGCGTGGCATTGACCCTGAGCGGAGGAGCAGCCGAGTGCTCTCGAACGCGATCGGAACAGCATTCCATGCGGCGGGCTGATACTGCGCCGATACGCCGAACGCAAGAATGCACCCGTACCGAATCAATCCCACGAAATGTTCGATTTTTATTTGCCACTTTCCACCACCGAATTCGCGCCGCAGGCAAGTATTACACGCATGCGAATCTTATCTCGTGCATGTTTAATGTGTATTCAATCGCGTTCCTGGAAGTGAGAGAGTGAACAAACAAATAAAAAAAACGCAACGCGACAATTTCCCACCCGGATTACATATGCGTTTATCTCCACATCCTCGGCATTCTCGCGCATTGCGAGAACGAAACCGCTTACTTCGACTGATTCACCGCGCGCGCGCGCAGAGGATGATACATAAAACAAACTTGTCCCTCACGTGAGTCATCCTCGGCGGCCATATCATTACCTAACTCTTTTTCTCCGGCGTTCATTTTGTTTTTGGAAAAATTTCATCAACTTTTAATATGCGCGCAAGCGGGTTGACGATGTTAACCGACCCATATATTGTCGTGCGAAGTCGTCGGGGACACGCGTGCGCGCGCGCGTAAATAGCTGTAAAAGTTGTAATGCATTGCGCGAGCAGCGACTGGTCGCGATTTATGCCTAAATATGGTCTTCGGCGTGCTTATCGGCTCAAGCGATGCGAGATGATCGTTTCGCAACAACCGGCACACAGAGGACCGACCAAAGGACAAATCCGACCAGCAGCAGACATGCAGGCTGACCGTGGCCCTAATACTCGCGCGTTGATTTTCACTCAGAAAATGCGCGCGCGTCGTAAAAATTATTGATGGCGATAAATGAAAACAAAAACTTGTCTATCTGAGATTAAAAGAATCCCTATATGGATGAAATGTAATCATTTCTTTCACCATATGGCGCGAAACTAACCAAAATATATATCATTTTTTTATGACGACAATACCAATGCGCGTTTTTTGAAATTTTAGTCCAGTGCGCGCGCGCGCAGATGTTGACAGTTCGGCGAAGGCAAATAAATGTGAATTTTTGAAATCGAGACAAGGCTGAAACTGTTACATCGAGCGCAGATGTCCTTTTATGGATCGACGTTTTCACTTCGACGAGCGGATTCATCGATAGCGCGTAGGTAAACAAATTATTTTATCAATAACCAACAACTCGAAGCACACACACACTCGGGGATTAGTCGAGTGCGAAACGAAATTTAAGCAAACATTTCGCAATCGGGCCCCGCACTGCGTCAACTTTGAACCACCAACTTGTTGCGCCCCAACGGCGCGCGTATTTTCCATTCATTTTCAAGCCTTTGCGCACACGAAAAAAGGTAGAAATCAATATCGATTCGACACAATAAAATCACCCGCAGCTGATACGCCAGAATTAATCACCGCTTATCGATGGCTGGAAAGTCTACACAATCGAATTAATCATTGGCGCGATTTGCATGCATGACGAGTCGCTGAATGAACTTATTTTTCAGCATACCTTCCACGATAATGAAATTGTATTGAAAAACAAAGCAAGACATTCATGATTTGAGGCTGTCAATGACGAATTTCTTGATTATTACCTTTTTTCGTGACTAATTCGCAAGAATTTCATCGAAAATGTTCGATTTTTTTCGAAATTAAACACAAAAAACATGTGAAACTTACGTAAATTAGACCAGAATAGTATCGGTCCTTGAGGTTGTAGAGAACGCAGGCTTCATTGAGGCAGGTCAACTCGGCCATGTCCTCCACCTTGTCGAATTTGGGCGGATTCATCTTCTGGATGTCATCCTTAGCGACCAGCACCCGCTTGCTGCTCTCCTGCAGCTCAACCTCCACCTCATCACCGCGTTCGCCCTTGATGGAGGCGGCGACGAAGCCCTGCGCTTCGTGCGGCACCCACACCAGTCGCTTCTGTGTCCATTCCGCCTGCGACGTGGGGTCGTTGTATACGTTGCGGTCCACGCAGAGGTACTTCAGCTCCGGATCGTAGCGATCCTTGGCTGCATTGGAATTGTCGTCGGATGCCATTTTACTGAAAAACAATTGCCGGCGTGTGAGTTACATTCGAGTTAGCAATGTAAATACGCGCACCGCACATGCGTGAATAACGCCTTTGGAATGACGAATAGAGGTTAAACTAACGAAAAACGCTGAGGTACAGCAATCGCGAAGAAGTTAATGGAATTTAACGTAAGAAATATACCCGTATGTTGTGGATTTTACGTGTGTATATGTAGTTAATGTTGTAGGGACATAATTCCACCCCTGATCGGCGGTTTTTTGGTACTTTGGTAGCTACGCCACGAACGCGACACCGCGAGCCGCGCATGAAGAGCCGAAGAAACGTCAAATGGCGACGGCGCGCATTACAGAAACCTACGAAATATTGTGCGCGCTGGCCGCACATTTGAAATCCAGTATCAGTTAAAATTGAAAACATGCGAATTATGTAGATGCGAGACGCGTAGTCTCGGCGTGTGTTTAAGTTGGTTAACCTGTCTGGGCAGCAGCCGGCTGTGTGTTTTCCGCTCGTCTTTTGTTAGCGGTCCGCGCCTCCGGACGCAATTCATACACATTCGTTATTACCTGATTTAGTGTGTGCGACGCGCTAACCCAACCTGAACATTAATCACAACTGTATGCGACGCACTCCGGGATGTTTTGCGCGAATTTCGGCGCACGCACGGCACTGGGCACAACAGTTGCAACGCGTTCGAATGGTCGTCGCCGACTCACTCGCATTCGGGGCCCGAGTGGGACCGGTTTATTGTACACCTCGCAGCACCCTGGGCCTTGCGCGCGGCGTGGTCTCTTTTGGGGCACGGCGGCTGCTCGAAGTTGGAAGTAGTAAGCTTTGTTGGCGATGGTGTGCGTGGCGCGGCGCGTCCGTACACTTCGACCGGGCCGGAGTAATTGACGCGAAGGCGGCCGACGGATGAGAACGACGCCGGTGACGGGACGGGACGCGTACTCAGGCGGAATGGAGCGGTGCGATTGTGCACGGCCAGCGCAGTGCGGAGCGTAACGGCTGCGACTGCCTGCGAAGACATCGGCGGCGACCGGGGGATCGGAGAGACCGGTTTCACGCACAACAAGAGCGCCACCGGCCCGGCTACGCCCTCCTCCGAGCGCTCACGAACGCAAAAGCGGTGGGGCAAACCGCCATGTTACAATTCAAATCGCAACCGCTGCGCCAAAGTTTCCTGCAACATCAACGAACTTACGGCGGTATTGCACTCTCCTGCGGCGGCACATCCTTACGCACTATATGCTTCGATCGGCTCTCAGCATTGGATCGCATGCGTTGTTCTAAAATCTGCTTCATTTTCATCACGCTCACGTTCGATAGCATCTCCTCGTCGTCCATGGCGAATTGAATTTAAGTTACATGCTACAAATTTGAAAAGAGCGCCCGTTTGACACGCCACTGACGCATGCGCACAAATCAATCAACATGATAAACAAATTTTTATTTATTTATTCAATGATAGCGTCGTTAAACTGTCTCAATGGTGCCTTTGGCACTGCTGCGGCGACTGGGCGTCTCCTCCTGCACGCTGGTGATCGCTCGCGTCGTCGTCGTCATCGTCGTGGTAGTTTGGCCGTGTGTATCAGGAAATGTGAACGATGTTTCTTCACTAGTGATCGAAACAACATCCACATCTTTTTGCCCAGTCTTCGGGGGCGTTTCTGCATTCAATGCGCTGTCATCGCTGCGCGTCGCCTCCAACTTCGGTGTTTCTGCGCGTGGTGGGCGTGGCATTGTGACTTTCGGTGACATGTCCAGAATACCGGAGGCAGGCGCACGCTTGATTAACTCCAGGGGGATTTCCTCGGAACGAGGGCGGGGCATGCGCGGACTACCCTCTCGTGATTTTCTACTTCCTGCCAGTGAATTGTATAGATTTTATATATTAATACCTTAGGAAGTCAATGTGAGTGATTGGGGCACTCACCAGATGGCTCTCGTGATCGTGCTCGAGTAACGCCATTGTTTTCCTTTTTAGAATTCGTCATTGCAATGCGACTGGGACTATCGCTCTCACGTCGGCGTCGTTCATCCGCACGATGGACAACTCCGTGTTCTCTACGGGGCGCGGCGAAACCAGGAACACGCCCTGATGTGAACAAGGGTCGAGAGTCTCTAGAGGCGGACGCGGAGGCAGCGCCTCTATACGAACCCACATAAGCGGGGCTAGGCGGGCCGGTTTGACCCGGAATATCAAGCAGACGCGCAATTTGTTGCATTTTCTTCTGACGCGCTTTGATTCGCCCCTTAGTCAAACGCTGCTTCGCCGCCATGCAGCGTATATTATCATCAAACACAAACTTTGCCGATAATAATGGCGCTGCACGTCCGGCTGTTCGTGTAAGATGGCCGTGAATAGTGATATGCAAACAACGCGAATCGTCTTTATCGCCGCTCACTTCGATATCCTGCAGGAAACCGACTAGTTTGGCTACACCCCACCCGAGGCGCTTCGTGTCCGGTTCGACAAGAATCAACTGCAGGATGTCTATCACGAGAAACCGGCGCAGTTTCATGCCGTCTTTCATCGACAGCGTGCATGCGATGAGGTCAGAGTTGTCTACGAACGAAGAAACACAAATTAGCACGCTGTATGCGCAATGAAATCACTCTGTGACAGCCGCATCGCTAGGGATTTCCACCAATCGCTACTCAGTGAGATTGTGATTGGATTGGAAGGAAACCCGAGCAATGCGACGGCGCCGTCGTGGCGTTCACAGACAACGAGCAATACTCAGGTCCAGCGCCTGGTCGATCTGCACGCAGACGTGCGGATTCGTGAGCGGTAGCTGCGTTTCCACTTCGCCATTCAGCTGCAGGACAAGATCACGCACGAGGAAAAACACGCGAATTGCACGCTTCGCGCGCTCCACCTGTAATCAAAAACACGCATCAATGAAATACAAACATTTCTAACCTCACAAACAGAGATGACATACTTCACCACATGGCAGGCGTTTCGTAAAGTCGATGCCTGTAAGGGGCGTGCCCGTGGGCGGCAACAAAATGGCGCTGTCCATGCACAGCCATTCAACGTTCAGTGATCCTTTCGACATGTCGCAATATCTATCACACGAAACACAAACAAAACAAATGTGAGTAGATATAAATTATATTATAAAATACACAGTGTATAATAAAAGTAAATGTAAATGAATCAGGCGTTACTGTCTGATGACTCGTAGCATAACTCGTCGCTCATTGCAAACGCTGGATACCGGTTATCGTCAAAAGTTTGAATAATGCGCCTTGACAATCAACAAAAGAAAGAATTCGTGAATTTGTATGATTAATTAAAGAGAGGCTTACTCATGCTCGAACATGTCGAGGAAAATTTCCTCCGATTTGTAGAAGTTGCGCACCTGGCCGGTGCTCTGCGCCTTTGCCGACTCCACCGAGGCGCGGTGCGGTTCGCTGAGAATGTTGCGCCCGTCGCAGGTGACCAGCTGACCCAGCAGCTTCAAGCACAGCTCGAGTGTCACCAGGCGTACGCGACATTGCGGTTGGCAGCTCTGCATCATCACATGCAGGATTCGATCTACCAGTAAGTTGTTATACGCATATTTTACGTCTTTTGTGCTGCCGCCTGCGCCTGCGGATGAATTAGACGCAGCGATGACTGATTTCTTCGGCCGGAGGATCAGTTCGATCAAATCTGGTGTCACACCTGTGCAATACAAATAATTTTAATGTTATTTATTTATTATGAGTTTTTGGTTAGATTGTACCTTTATTATTCGCCATAGCATAGAGTAGGCTAAATGCAAAGAGGGCTGCATAATCATTCTCGTTGCAATCGAGTGCATTTAACACCGCTTCCAAAAAAGGTTTCTCTGCCATAGCTGCCGCTTCTGTTTGTACAGGCACAGGCGTCGCCATTTTTTCCTTCTCTTCATCTGTCACATTCGTAACATCCGGTTCACTCAACTCTTCTTCTTCATCCTTTTCAGACTCTTCTTTTTCTGTCCTGGGTGTACTACTAACGCCACCTGTCGGCGTGTCTTTGGCATCCTCTTCACATTGTTCTAGTAATTTATCCACACCTTTCGTGACTAAAACCTTGTCTGTTTTGAGTATAATCCAGGCTAGTGTACGAATAAGTGGCGGGTGGGAAATGATCAGAAACACCTGCGAGAGCAGAAACAGCGCCACAACGCTGGACACCTTCGCGTTGAGTTCACCAGGTACCCCTGAAGAAGTCGAAGGCGGTGTACTGCTCGATGACGACGTGGAACTAGGCGTATCGCGTTTGTGTTGCGGTGATAGTGAGTAGATGTACAGCGGGATGAGCAGTTTATGCAGGAGGTGATCGGTGAGCACCTGGTTCAGGTCGGTTATATTCAGACACAAGATGTCGTTGAGGTAGTGCAGGTGGTCCAAGTGTTCAGCCACCAAGTCAGACAAACGATTTTGTGATTGATGACTGGTACAAAACAAAACAACACAGTTAAAAATCATAATTGATGTTTTAAAATAAAAATTCTTACTCTGCGTCATTGCGCACGCACGCATCCAACTCCTGAATGTGTTTGCCGATGAAATAAACTATGTTGGAGAAGTACGGAGCTGCTGTACGGTCACGAATGAACGCCAGCATGCTGGCATCTTCCACTTTGTAGACGTTAAGCGTAAGAGTCCGCACAGCAATGCGTACCATCGACTCCGGATGGTTGAAGAACTTTATCGCTTCGGTGTACAGCGGGAAATCATTCGTGTGCTCGTTGTAAAAGAAATGAATCGTGTGCGCGTTCAGTTTTAGGCTGAGCGTCTTCAGGAAGGAGATGTAATAAGCCATCACTTCCTCGTCGGAGAAGTCAAACTTATGGACGATGATTGAGTTGACGTGATTGTTTGATAATAAATAATCTGCAGAGGAGTAAAAATCAATAAAAATACAAAAAATAAACATAAGTATCAGGGTGTAGGTCGTTTCGCCGTCGTCCATTCGGTCCGAGTCATTTGGACGCGGCGCACATTCGCCTAAACAACAATTCATCAAGTTTCTTGATGCATTTGACAATTTAAGAGAATATTAAACTAATTTATCTAAGTTCAATCTTGAATCTTTAGCATGCATTATGTTTATAAGTGAAATCAAATCAAATCGCGGTGAATGTGCGCCTCTCGCGGCGAAACGACGACGGCCAAACGGCTTTCATCGCAAATATCATACAAAGTGAGGTTTCGTTTCGAATATTTTCGAAGAGAATGTTCAGAGTCTGAAGAAGCTGCACACAGACAAAACTTGAGCCGCCGCTACGCTGTCGCATGATGCGCAGGAAAAACGACAGCATGTTCTTTTCCAAAAAGAAACTGCAAACACACAATAAACATTAAAAAAACATTAATAATTAAAATCAAACAATTGTTACTCAAATACAGATGAATCATTCTGATCGCCCCAAATAAGGATCTCGGCGATTGAGCGCAAGGACTCCACCAGCAGGCCCCTGTTGTACTCAGACACAGTGTGGTTCTTCACCAGCACATTGTAGAGGTACTTCAGATGCTCCGGGGAGTGCGGATTCTTCGGGCGGCCCCAGCCACCACCGAACCAGCTGCGGCTGCGGAACATCGCGTACGGTAATTTTTGTTGGAAGCAAACGAAACTACGAGGAAAATGTCACTATTACTGTTGCTCGCATCGCGCCAGCCGACTTTGATCCCGCGTGCGAATTGAGTGTTACGCGTCCATATTCACGCACTTGCACTGTATGTTGAATTCTACGCTGTTCTAGTTGTGCGTAGCACTTTTCTTTTTAATTAGTCACTCCAAAACTCTGGATATCTTGCTCGCTTGATTTGGGTTGATTCATTATTTGGGTTTCGTTGGCGCAAGTGGACGGATGGCCTCGCGGTAAGCGCGCGAACAGCTGTTTTCTGACGTTTGCTCATCCTGCAGCTCCTGCAAAACTTACAGCGGTGGGGGCAAAGCGAGAATTTTGTAGTTTCTTTTAAAATCATTAATAAAACACACGAAACTTGTTGATTGTTTCTTTTTTTCACTTATTAAACCTTTATTCTTTACTTACATCCACTAAAACTGCCTTACTTTATCATAAAATGAATTCAAAATACAACTTAACATAACCCCAAATAAGTTGCATGCGACTACAAGTTGTTTACGAAATTGACGACGAAATCAACATGAAAATCTTAGAATTATACAGTGGAATAGGAGGAATGCACACTGCATTCAAAAGTAATATTTATAATAAACATTTTCACACATAAAATGTAATAAAATGTAAAATTTTAGGGCAAATCTTGAAGGAGAAGTTGTTTGTGCAATTGACATCAACCCAACAGCCAACAAAGTTTACGCGCACAATTTTCCGACCACCAATAGCATCAATGGTAACATAGAAGGTCTGACTGTGAATAAAATCAAGAAGATGAACATTGACACCGTCTTCATGTCTCCTCCATGCCAGCCATTCACTCAACTTGGTCTGCAATTGGACATTCATGATCCCAGAACAAAATCATTCATTTATTTCCTTGGAATTCTACCAGAACTTGACATCAAGAGGCTTTTGCTAGAGAATGTGAGGGGTTTTGAGCTGTCTGAGGTGCATAATATGTTCATTACAACACTGAAAAAGTGTGGATTTCATTATAAAGAGTTTATGTTAAGCCCTAATCAATTGGGTGAGCCAAATAGACGCCGGAGATATTATTGTGTGGCGAAAAAAGAGCCTTTTGATGAGGCTACAGTGGCAAACTTGCCTCAAAATGATGAAATTATACAGGATCCATACACTTTAGAGAAGATTTTGGAAGATGTGACCACAGATGAGTATAATGTGCCTATTAAAATGTTATTAAACAAGTCGAAATTGTTTGATATTGTGTACAAAGACTCCAACAGAAGTTGTTGCTTTACAAAGAGTTATGGAAGGTATATTGAAGGATCTGGAAGTATTTTTACTCCAAAAACCATGGCTGAAGTAGATGATGTCTATGAGCGATTAAATGAAAACACACAAGATGAAATAGACCCTGAAACTCGGATAAAAATCGAGACGGAGTTGTTAAAATCGTTGCAGTTTCGCTTTTTTACATCACGAGAAATTTGCAGATTGATGTGTTTTCCTGAGGAGTTCGGCTTCCCGGCAAGCGTCACAAATCGCCAGCGATATACACTTCTCGGAAATAGTATTAACTGCAAAGTTGTTGCCGAGTTAATGAAGCTGTTATAATGAATATTTTTTACGACCGAATGAAATTGATTTTTTTTATGTAAACAACGACAATTCCAATGCTTTGCATCCGTGCATTTTAATTTTAAACTGAATAAGCTGCATGTGCACAGTCTCGTAAGCCGGTTGTAAATATTAAAGTGCATTTTATAAACAAACGGTTTTATCTCGAATAATTGTATGATAAGTGTATCTGAAAACTAAAAAAACAAACAATGATTTAAAACACATGAAAGTGCCGCACCAGTGCGAACGACCTTGTAGGTTGAAGGTCGTTGGTGACATTCCTGGAATTCGCAAGCTACGCATTTATTTGTAACACTGGATAGTAAAGCGCATGTCAAGAGGAGAAATTTATAAACCTTGTTTGAAACGTAAAGAATTTGGAATAATCATATATAATACATGCTATATTTATGCACAATTAAAAATAATTCCATATTTCCTTCACTTTTGTTATTTGGGTTGCCTACACACCTTCCTCCACCACTTTTTGTAAATTACGCGTAGGTATGCGCAGCCTGCGAGCAGCAAATGACAAGTGACACTAAGCCAGCGCTGGCAGATCACGTGGTCACCGCGACTATCCAGTGTTATTATAGGGATCAGTGATGTCGCGCGACGCTTTTGACATTAAAACCACATGTGAGACGTTTATTTATATCGCCGCTTCCAGCCCACTGAGCGCGTAAACGAGGCACAGGCGGTCGGGAAACGCGCCACACTCTATTCGTCTTAAATGCTCGCATCGCAATCTCATCGTAACATAGCGTTCTCGTGAAAATGGAAGCACCAAGGTAAAAAATGTAAGGTTAGGTTTGTGTAGCCTGGTAGCCCACACGTGCGGTGGTGCGCGACGCGACGATTGGAATTGTCGCGCCCGGAGTCGGGAGTCCCGCAGCGGTTGTTTACACGTTGCATAATCAAGATAACCCGCCGGGCTTAATAAATCGCTCTTATCATGCTAATGTTGACTCCGGGGTCTCCCAGTGACAATGGGGCTTTCTTTGACCTTGCGCCGCGATAAGATTTAAGCGCTTGGCTCTCGCGGCCGGCGTCAGTCTCGCGCCGTAACTCAGCATGGCAAAAAAGCACGATATGTAATTAATCCTACGATAACAATTCCAAGTAACGCTTTACTAATATCCGAATGTTTCGGTTTTCAGGGAGAGCCTGTTGCTGGGCATTGGCAACCCGCTGCTGGACATCTCCGCGTCCGTCGACGAGGCGTACCTGGAGCGGTACGATATGAAAGCGAACGATGCCATCCTCGCCGACGAGAAGCACATGCCCATATACAAAGAGATTGTCGAGAAGTACAACGCCGATTATATCGCCGGCGGCAGCGTGCAGAACTCGCTGCGCGTCGCCCAGTGGATTCTGGACAAACCGCGCGTGGCGACGTTCTTCGGCTGCGTCGGCGAGGATGAATACTCGAAGATTCTTGAGGAGCGCGCGCGCGCAGATAGCGTGAATGTACAGTATCAGTACGACGTGAAGCAACCCACGGGGACATGCGCAGTACTCATCACCGGCCATCATCGGTCGCTGTGCGCCAATCTGGCTGCGGCGAATTGTTTCACAGTCGATCACATCCGCAAACCGGAGAATCGTAAACTCATGGAGTTGGCGCAATATTACTACATATCCGTTAGTATTACGCATCTAATCTGTTCAAACAGTATTATCTTACGATTACGTTTTATTACGCAGGGATTCTTCCTCACTGTGAATCCCGAGACGATCATGGAGGTGGCCAAGTACTCTCACGCACAGAAGCGGACGTTCATCATGAACCTCAGCGCTCCTTTCATTTCTCAATTCTATAAGGAACCGTTAATGAACGCGATGCCTTACATCGATATTCTCTTCGGAAATGAGACTGTACGTAAAGTAGACTAGTTTATAAACATTCACGCAAAAAAAAATTCCCTAGAAGTTACTAACGCCGCCATTTTTGTTACCAGGAGGCAGAGACGTTCGCCAATGAACAGTCGTTTGGCACGAAGGATCTGAAAGAAATCGCGTTGAAGATATGCTCTCTGCCGAAGCAGGACGAGGCGAAACCGCGCATTGTAATTCTCACGACCGGCTCCAATCCGGTGATATTAGCGAGCAACGGCAAGATAACCGAATTCCCCGTCGTGCGTCTTGAAGAGGATAAACTCGTCGACACGAATGGCGCTGGCGACGCCTTCGTCGGCGGTTTCCTCGCGCAATACATTCGCGAGCAGCCGCTCGACGTGTGCATCCGCTGCGGCATCTGGACGGCCACGCAGATTATCCAGCGATCGGGCTGTACTTACGAAGGCAAGGCCGACTTCAAAGCGTAGCCCACCGCGCGCCGCCAGCGTGATATTCACGCCGGCCGGCGCCGACGTACTTAAAAGCGTCGCAGACATACTTCCACACTGATCAGAGTAGCAAATAAACTTATTTCATGTGCCTAAACCTACGATTGGCGTTATTTCCATGTGAGAATTTGAAAATGATGTAAAATTTAGTTATTTCCCTAGTTTAAGTTTGTATTTGGTCGCCATGGCAACAGAATAACAGTATTTGTTTGTATTTGCGCTCGGGGAGAGTAATCCGGTTAGTAGGATGTCGGAGGGCTCGTTTATGGTATCGCTGGCTGGGCAAGTGGTGTGTTTGGAGGTCCTTGCCGGCGCCGGATCGCGCTGGCATTGCAAATATGAATTTGTACACGGCGCTGATTGGCGGTGCGTCGGCGGCGTGCAGGCTGGCCTCTCGCAGATCGCCAATGTTGTTCAAAATGGTGAAAAAGTCGTTTTGAATCTACCGATACAAATAGTTTTTCGTTCTACTAATCCCTATGGATGTGAGTATTGAGTTTTTAATTTTTGGCGACAATACCAATGCGTTTTTTCGCTGTGCAGGGCCACAGATTATCCTGAGCGTATACTGCGACATGCAGCTAGCAGGTTATGGAAGATTGCACGTGCCGTTGCAGGCCGGTGTTCATCAGCTACGCGCACATCTATCGAAACCGATCGCATCAAGTTTATTCGGATACATTGGATCGTTTTTCGGCTATCAACCGGAATTGGTGCGCCCGACCATGATTGCCACCACGGCTGGCAGCAATCGTATGTTGTTTTGCGCTTTGTATTGTCAGTTGAAATTTAATTAATCATTTTTTACCAGTCATTCGAATGGTCTCCAGCGGTGAGGTGCAATTAACGCTGAATGTGATTACGCAGCATCTGCAGTCACTCGGATACGACGTCGGTAGTAACAATTGTCGCAGTCTGAATAGTGTTTAATATACAAATACAAGAAATTTAGCGCTGAAAAGCTTTTATTTAGTTATCCTGTAACGGTTGTGAAATGTGCATGGCAAATGCGGGATTCCCCTCCATTTGGTGATAAGTGAGAAAAGTCACCAGGAAAGATCCCCAGGATTGGCTAGCCGCTTGTCAAGTCACTGTCACTCTCGAACACACACTCGCGCACCGCAGAAGTCGTGGAGAACGGCGCCACGGTAGAGTCGTAACGAACCAGCGCTGCGTAGCAAACGAGCCCGCTACACCGGCGAGACACCAGCAGAAGTTTACGCCGCCGACGACAACAGCCCGGCGACGGCGCGCCGACGAGCTAGACGGTCCCTGCCTGCGCCCATCGGTGAGTAGTGTTCTGCGCCTTTTGAACCACCGCGCCTTGACCGACAAAAGCGACAGCAGCGAGCCGCGCGACCACCATCTTGTTTATTTTCTCGTGTGTGCGCGCCGCGATCGAGCAAACCGCCGGGCGAGCAGCCGGCTGCCGCCCCACGATCCCGAGGTCGGCGGGCGTGCGCCGCTCCCGCACCTGCCGCCGCCACCGCCGCCGATTGGCATGTGCTTGAGGCGCCCGGGGCGACGACACCGGCAGACATCATTGGGCGCATCGCGAGCAAGCATTTCGTCAAGTTGACCACGCACAGCGCGAGCAGCCACCCCGCCGCCAGAGCCGCTCACACCGGCCCGGCCGCCCCCGACGGCCCACGCAGCAGGCAGCGTCGCAATAGCCGCAGCAGCGGCGACGCGCCCCACGACAACGACGACGGCGGCCCCGGCTCAGACGCCACCGTCCCCGCGCACACGCCGCCGCCTGAGATGAATCACCACGTGACATCGACGGACGACCAGCGACGTCGCAACGACACCACTTTGGTACAGCAGCAGCAGCAGCAGCAGCAGACCCACAACGATATCGAAGAGATGGAAACACAGGAAGGTGAGTGTCGCCCCCAATTGTCCTCCCTCCCTAACCTCACCGCCTCCTCTCCTACTACTCCCGGTTCTAATGCATGCACGTGCACACATTGTGCCCCAGGCATGTCGTGGATCATGCATGTCGTCCTTCGGAGACGTTTCGGTCGGTGGTGAGGTTGCCGAGGTGGTGACATCGTCGGCGGCACTAACCTTATTTCTGCGAGAGAGAATCTGAATCGCAGTCGGCCATGCCCGAAACAAAACAAGATCACCGCCGGCCATACTAACATAAGTACTACCCTCGCAGTTCGCGTCCGCGGTTGCACCAGGTTTTAGATTTACGATTCATGCATGCTTAATTACCGCCGCCCCCGTCCGTCCGTGATATTTACGTTTATTTCACGTTTATTTTTGTCTCCGGCGTTATCATGGTCACAATAGTCACTCCAATGGAATTCATGACAGATGCAGGTGGCGGTGAGATGGATTCGCAAAACGGCGACGCGATCATCGGGCCACAGATCGACCCCAATTCGGCGCTGGTGGCCACCACGGGCAGTATGCAGCAGGACGCCGACATGGAGGAGGACGAGGCACGCTCCGAGGCCACTTTCCGCTTTTCCGTGCAACATTTCAGCAAGCTTAAGGTAAGCGCAATTCGCATGACAAAAGCTCGTCAAAAGCAGCTGTCACACAGCGCAATATTGTTCATTCAAAAAAAGTGCAAATCATTGCAATGACTTTGGTAGATTCCTGTGTGTGTGTGTGTCGCTCTCGTTGGATTTATTTTTATTACTGCGCTTATTTTAGGATTCGGTGCTTTCCCCGCCATGCTACGTGCGAAATCTACCATGGAAAATCATGGTAATGCCACGTACCAGCCATGGACAGGAGCGTGCACCTTCGTCGCGCTCGCTGGGATTCTTCCTGCAGTGCAACGGCGAGAGTGAATCCTCCTCGTGGAGCTGTTACGCTGTCGCAGAGCTGCGCCTACTCACCGTACGCGCTGAGATCGAGCCATTCTCGCGCAAGATCCAGCATCTTTTCTACCCAAGGAGAATGACTGGGGTTTTTCACATTTTATGGCATGGAACGACGTCTTGGACGCCGAAAAGGGGTACATTAAGGATGATTCAATTACACTGGAGGTGCACGTGGTCGCCGATGCGCCGCACGGCGTCTCCTGGGACAGCAAGAAGCACACCGGCTTCGTCGGGTTGAAGAACCAGGGTGCGACTTGTTACATGAACTCATTGCTTCAGACACTTTACTTCACCAACCAGCTGCGCAAGGCGGTCTACAAAATGCCCACCGAGTCGGACGACTCGACCAAGTCAGTCGCGCTGGCGCTGCAGCGCGTCTTCAACGAGCTGCAATTCAGCGATAAGCCAGTCGGCACCAAGAAGTTGACGAAGAGTTTCGGCTGGGAGGCGCTCGACTCTTTCATGCAGCATGACGTGCAGGAGTTCTTGCGCGTTCTACTCGACAAACTCGAAAGTAAAATGAAGGGCACTTGTGTCGAGGGCACGGTGCCGAAGTTATTCGAAGGCAAGATGATGTCTTACATTCGGTGCAAGAACGTCGACTATACCAGCACCCGCTCGGAGACGTTCTACGACATCCAGCTTAATATAAAAGGCAAGAAGAACATTGATGAATCATTCAGGACTACATCGCGCGCGAAACGCTCGATGGCGATAATAAGTATGACGCCGGCGAGCACGGCCTGCAGGACGCCGAGAAGGGTGTCATTTTCTCGGCCTTTCCACCAGTCCTACATCTGCACTTGATGCGGTTCCAGTATGACCCAATCACCGACTGCTCGGTTAAATTCAACGATCGTTTTGAGTTCTACGAGAAAATCTCACTGGACTCCTACCTGCAAGAGAAGAATCCACACAACCCAGCGAATTACACTCTGCATGCGGTGCTGGTACACTCTGGCGATAACCACGGCGGACACTACGTTGTATTCATCAACCCGAAAGGTGATGGCAAATGGTGTAAATTCGACGATGATGTTGTCTCGCGTTGCACCAAGCAGGAAGCCATCGATCACAACTACGGCGGGCACGATGAAGATATCAACATGACGGTGAAGCACTGCACCAACGCCTACATGTTGGTGTACATCCGCGATTCCGAACTGCATAATGTCCTGCAGGAGGTGACCGACGCCGACATCCCAACTGAGTTAGGCGATCGCCTTGCTGAAGAAAAACGCATGGAACAGGTGCGACGCAAGGAGCGCAACGAAGCGCATCTCTACATGACGCTCAACATCGTCCTGGAGGACTCATTCGACGGCCACCAAGGTAACGACCTCTATGATCAAGAGAAAGCGTTGTATCGGGTGTTCAAAATCAAGAAATCGGCGACCGTGGCGGAGATGATGGACCTGCTCGCTGATAGTTTCAAGTATCCGCTGGAGCAGATCCGGCCGTGGCCGTTCACCACACGTTCCAATAACACTTATCGTCCCAGTATCCTTGACTTCGACACTGATCTACACAAGAGCGTGATTGAGGCGTCCGAGAATCAAAACCCGTGGCACATTTTCCTCGAGTTGTTACCGCCGGATTCCGGCAGTCCCGCGCTGCCAGCGTTTGATAAAGACACCGATGTACTCATGTTCTTCAAACTCTACGACCCGAAACAGAAGAAGATGCATTACTGCGGTCATAGTTATCTGCCAGTCACGTCGAAGCTAGCTGACATCGTCCCGCTGCTGAATGAACGCGCTGGGTTCTCAGCGGACACCGAATTGTCGCTGTATGAAGAAATACGCCCGAACATGACAGAGAAGATCACCAGCCTTGCTGATCCGCTTGAAAAAGTGCTCGAGGAGTTGATGGACGGCGATATACTCGTGTTTGAACGTGACGAACGCGAAGAACTCTCCGATTTGCCCACGTGCATCGAGTTCTTCAAGGATTTATTCTTCCGCGTGGAGGTCACCTTCGTCGATAAGTGCATACCGAATGATCAGGGCTTCACAATGGAGTTGTCACTACGTATGACTTATGATCAGATCGCGCGCTCGGTGGCGCAACGCGTCGGCACCGATCCCTACCTGCTGCAGTTCTTCAAGACGCAGAACTACAAAGATAGTCCCGGCAATCCGCTCAAATGCACCTTCGAAGGTACGCTGAAAGACCTACTCGTGTATTCGAAACCGAAGGTGCCGAAGAAAATCTTCTACCAGCAGTTAAGTATTCGTGTCAATGAGCTGGAGAATAAGAAACAGTTCAAGTGCGTGTATCTCTCGCCGAAGCTGAAGGACGAGAAGGAACTGATTCTCTACCCGAGCAAGGGCGGTACTGTTGCTGATTTGTTAGATGAAGCTAAAAAGCAGGTGGAGTTGACTGAAGGCGGTAGTAATCGACTGCGCCTCACCGAGGTGAGTTCCAATAAGGTGAGTCTGGGTCCCAAGGAGGATACCTCGCTGGACGCGCTCGCCATCTGCACGAACAAGGTATTCCGTATTGAGGAGGTGCCGCTGGATGAGGTGCACATCGCCGACGATGAGCTGCTGGTGTCCTGCGCGCATTTCTATAAAGATATCTACGCCACATTTGGTACACCCTTCCTGATTAAGATAAAACAGGGCGAGCCTTTTGGGCGCGTGCGCGAGCGCATTCAGAAGAAATTGAACCTCCCGGAGAAAGAGTTCGAGAAGTTTAAGTTCGCTGTTATTTCGATGAATCGCCCCAGCTTCTTCTCCGACGATGAAGCTTTGATCAACCTCAACGAGTTTCGGCCTCAGACGCAGCCGCCCCAAGGTAATTGAATATTATTTATTAGATTTGAGACGATTGTATATGAAAAAATGTTGTGTATTTCAGGCAATAACAAGCCGTGGTTGGGGCTTGAACACATTAACAAAGCGCCAAAGCGGGCACGCTTCAACTGTCTTGAAAAGGCGATCAAAATCTACAACTGAACAGCATCGCATCGCCGGCGCGCTGTTGTAACTCTACGAATAACGTCAAAATGCAAGATAAATTCAAATTCAACGGACTGTGTTATATATTACGATGCATAAATAATTGCAACAATTTATCTACTAAATAATTACATGAGAAAATTAATTTATAATTATTATGTGTGCAGAAGAGCGGATGAAAAACGCGCGCAGCTTACGCAAATAATTAGATGTAACCCAAAACATGGAAGATGATAAACAGCTCTAAAACACACCACCGACACACAAAACACACACACAAACACACAGAGAATGAAGGCGGCGAATAGTTGAAACAATTTTTATGGCTGATTTGATTGGATTTACGCCGTGGCACTACTCCAACCCCAACACTATACTACTGCTGATCATCACAAAATCGTATATAATTTATAATATTTGTTTTTGTTTTTTTTTTCTACGCAGCAGTATCGAACGTCGATTATTAATTTCTTTTTTATTTGTGTAACTATGGTTAAATGTGCGTGAGGAGAGAGAGAAATCGAGCGCCGACTCACCGGTGTAGGGATGCAGGGCGATGCGAGAACGCGAGCGCAAGTTTTATTAAAGTAATTAATTTAAAGATTTAAAAGAACGTGCAGCAGGTGTCGTCAATGTGCGGATGGAAATAAACTTGTAAATACTTATTATTGATTGATCATCATATATGTCAATGTAGAATAATATTAATAATAATAATATAATCATTATTAATTCACAAACGCGTGCGTGCGTCATCCACACCTACCCTTTACTTATAATTATCGCTTCTCGGCAGACATGTTTTCGGTAATTACATGTTGATAATTCCGGTCGCGGTAAAAGTAAATTGATTTTTTTAAATTTATTAGTTTATTTGTTTAGATACAGTGTTTCAGTTTTGAATGAGATTCATGTTTGAGACAATCTTTTTCCTTTCCTTTCCGTTTTCCATGTTTAAATAAGAAATAAATAAATTCCAACCTATTGCGCCCTAGTATTACAACATTTGCACTACGAAATATATATTACAATTGCTTTAAATTAATAAATAGATATTTGAATCTTCACTAGGAATTAATTAACAAAGCGCACTTTGAAGGATCGATGCGTGCGCCGCGAATATAATAAGCTAAGATCAGTCTTGGTTGAGTCGAGCCGAACGTGGCGAGCGCGTTCAGTTTGTTCATGCGGTGGCGTCGGTGTGGAAACTTCCAGTCGGAATCACTTCAGCTGATAAGCGTGTATCGCAGGCCGGCGGCGATCAGCGCCGTCAGCATGCCGAAGAAACTCGCCGACAGCGACGCCGAACTCGAAGCGGACGCCAATCCGCACTGCGCCGAGCTGTACTCCGAGCAGTGGTTCTGTAACGCACAAGAGTGACACACATGAGCAAAACCGCCCGCCAAACGTGTTTTACGGCCGCTGCCATTCCAGAAACACTGAAAAACAGGTAGTACATACCTTGATCATGGCCGAGGACATCCTGTCGAGGAAGTTCCGACTAAATTCAGCGGCGGGCGCACCGCACGCACGTTCCGTTGTCTCCGTTGAGCATTCAACGTATTCTTGGAAGGTGCTGCAAAGAAGCGCACAAAACAAACGTAAATTTTCGAAACTTTTGTGCGATAAATATTTGACGTGAAGAAGAAAGTTGCGCATGCGCACCACTCACCAGCAAACATTCTTGATGCCCTCGTCGGCGATTTGACGCTTCCTCTTGCGTTGATATTCAACCATATCGACAGCGGGCACATCCTCGACGGCGACTTCATCAATTCGCGGCCGTCCCTGGATTTCCTTCATCGCTTGCGAGTAGCGATCGAAGCAGACCTGATTCTTATCCGCCACTTGCTTCATACAGGGCACATACTTGAGGTACTCCTCTTGATAGGTGGCGTTGTCGCATAATTCGCGCACCACCATGCTGGTGCCTTGGAAGAGTTTGTTGAAGTGTTTCCGGTGGTGCATACTCATGCACATGCGTGTATAGGAGTGGATACATCTTATAGCGCCTTTTAAGTCTCTGCGAACAGGTAAATTCCAATTAATTTCGTTGTTTTTTTGCGTGAAAATTTGATACTTACGGGCAAACTCTTTCTAGGTCCGTGCGGTTGGAGACGAATGTCATGCCGGATTCAGTAATCAGCGAAATCGGCTTGGCGCATTCGATAAGTCGCTCCTGCTCGCAGTGCGTGTGAATCGCACGAGCAAACCGCGATGTAATCACTGAAAAAACACAGAGAAACACGTCAACTCAAGGTTTGTCACAGACAAATATAAGTTTTTCCTGGCATTCATTCAAATTCCTGCGTAAACATTGCGCGCGTCCACCAGAAAACTGATAGTGCTACTGGATAGATAAGCGTGGTGCGCCGATTCGGTACTCAACGTGAATGAGAGCGCAAGGCACTCAATCGAATCGCACAATCAGTTTAGCAAGCGCGGCGCGCCGATGATACAAGTGTTTTGCCCGCGCCGAATGCCGTCTGGTGCGCGCGCGGCGGTCGAGCCCAGCTCAAACTCGCCGCCGATTGGCCGGACGCGTATCGTACGATGTCTTCGACGTGTGTTCCTCACCTGGCGCGCGCTCGCTCGCACCGAGCGCACGAAAATAGCGCGCCGCTTCGCCAATTCACAATTTGTTTACGCGCGAGAGTACGCGACTATTTACAACTCATCAGCGTTGTCCGTGATCGCCGTATTTCGCACGATTGTGATCGCACCGATTATCATTACGCCAGTGATTCACCAATTCATTTCTCCGGCGTGGGTGACTATCAGGAGACACGCGATATTGTAGTAGGTATATACAAATAGTATTTGCATGCATGATGCATTTTTTTCAAATCAATGATTCACGCATCGTACGATTTTCAGCAGTGCGCTGTTATTGGTCCGTGGTATGATTGATCATCGTCCTTATTCGTCAATTAGGAGCTCAGTACGGCGCTCAATTGGTATACAAAAACGCGCGCCGATAAATGCACAATTGCCATGAATTAACACTCCATTCATGCCTACTTTACTCGCGATGCAATCGTACGAAACTCGAAAAAAAAATCAAGATGTTCGAAAATTTCCAGTCAAACTTTCCAGCGCCCAAGGCCAGCCGCAATAAAATCCAAAACTTATCTAGCCGCCACAAAATTTCCGTCGAGTGTTGAAATTTTCGCTGATTTCGGGGCAGAAATAAAAGTTAAACTCGTAAAAAACGTTTTAACAGTTTCGAAAATCGCGTTTTTATTGAGTAATTAAAAATTGCGCGCGTTTTACGTAATTTATTTCAGTAGAAATTTAATACTAAGATAAAGAGCATTAATATCGCACTTAAATAAATAAATAAACATTGAAGAGTGATGACAGTGCGTGCAAAAAACCATGCATGACTTTTACTTCCGAAGATTTGATTTATTTCAGTGCGCATCATGCTCATCTTAAGTCTAATCCAAGTATAAAGCAGTTAAGTCGACTTACGTGTTATAAATAATGCTGTATAGATGGTAAAACACCTTTTGATTTGTTTAATCACAGTATTCATTCTTCTTCAGGCCTTCCCTTTAGGTACTTCCGGTCGGTAGTAAGTTGTTGTAGGTAAGTAGTAAGTAAGTGACGTTTAGCGCACTTAATCTTTGGAATTTTAAGTATTTTTCTCTTTGAATACTTCGTCTTAACACATAAATAGATCTTCTTAAACGTTTACGTAACAGGGGCAATAATAATTCTTGTTGAGAAAATGTTTGGTTTTCAGCGATTCGGTGAGTTGGACTTTTGTAAGTAAGAGTTGAGTCGGACCACGACCACGTGGAAGCAGCAGCAGCAGGTAGGGAGCGCGAGAGATAGAGGTATGGGGCCCGGTGCGCGTGCAAACACGTCGAATGCTGCCGACTAACTGACTTCGAGCGAACTGAGCGAAGGCGCGATCGGCGCGAACGTAGCGAGCTGGGTGATCCGCGATCCTCTCGCCGCTCCACGGACGCCGGTGCTATATAGGGGCCGCCGCACCGCTCGCACCCATTGCCCAACCACACACAACTCCATTGCTCCTTGTTCAGCGCACACACACACCTGACGCGTTTGCGTATGGATGGTGTGATGCCGCTGGTTGGGTGACGTCATGTCGTATGATTTTCTACCGGGCGCCCACCAAACCCATGGTCCCCCCCGGTTCCACCAAGTTTTAGCGTGCGATTGCATCGACTACAGCCCATTCAGACCCATTCGGATCGTGTCGCATACATGGGAACAACTCGAATAAATTCAACAGCTTCCATTTAATTATTTATTGTTTCTGTTTTGAATTCAGCCAACGCGCATTCCTCACATTTTATTTTGATTTAAAATGTTAGTTTTTATATTTTAAGCTACAAATCGAAAGGAATTGGCATTGTAAGTAGGTGAAGTTCGTTTTCACCTTCGAAAGAAATTTTGTGTCAAATATTTCGCACGATTCTAATCCCAGCCGACTGGTTTTCAAGGGTATTTACTCCCAGCAGCGGCGATTGGCCCTTGCGGCGATTAAATTCTTATCAAAAAATACGTCCGCGTCCAGTCACAATCCGATTGTCGGCCGTACATTCTAGTCATTTACATATTCCAACATATTCCAACTATTATTAATGTTGCGCGCATTCTTGATTAATTGTTTCGTATCAATATTCGTTATTTATTAGATAACAGCCGAACGTGTTTATAACTTGCAACTGTTACATATTTCGAAGCACATTCCGCGTTTCGTAGGTGAGTTTTTACTTAAAAAACTATTTACAATTAAGGAAATGATTTGCAATTTGATTTGGTTACAAAATAAAGCGCGCTTTTTATTCGGCTAAACGCTAAATGTTAATTATAATTCGAATTACACAAAAACTAAACATCGTATGATTCTTAATTACCTACGGCTAGCAGCCAGCGAACGCTAAAGAAATTAAGCGGTAATTGACGCACATGCATGCATGAGAGACAATCGGTGGGAACGTGAATGAGGAGCACGGGTAATGTTGTTATTTTGATTCGTTTGGGGGCTCGTAAAAAACCGTTTGACGTGCGGCGGATTGACGTGCGCCTGATTGTAAAACAAAATGGAAGATTTGTTTACCAACAGCGGAGAGCGGAGTTGTTTTTGTTTGTTTTTGATGTGTATTTTCTGAAAATCATGAAAATATAATGCTGCTTTTCATTTCGGTCACATTTCGCCGAAAAACGTGCGAATTGCGCGACGAGGGCAATAAACAAGTCAGACATCAAACAAACCTCGATCACCTACGGCGCACGTCCGCGTCGTCCTCAAGCATTTCGCGGTATTAAAACTATAGCGCGCGCACATCACGTTTTCCCGCAATTTTCAACGTTTACCATGTGCGGAACTAAATTGTGTTGTGATTCGGTCGCTAATTGCTGCAGCCTTAGTTCGAATCACAACACAAAGGTTTCCATGACACTGTGAGTTAATCAATTCCCGAAGGCCGCGCATGAAAATTCTAGGATAACCGTAATCAGGTTGTTATTTTGTAAAATATGTCCGGAGACACTTGCGTCTTTCAGCCGTCGCTGAATCGGATGGGAAGCGAGGATGGTGGTAAAAATAAAAGTGAATATGTTTATTTTTATTGCGCAGGAGAGGCCGGGCGCTGCTTGTTTGCGACGAATCTGGCCACGCCGGCGGTTGCGGAGGCAGCGATGGCGGCGCAGAAACCTCATAACTCATAACGTATGCACTTTGGCACCTTTGGCGCTTGATTTCGATTTGCCAAGCGCGGAAAACAAACTGTATAGCGGCGAATTCATCAACTCCTACGGGTTTTGAATGTACGACGGAGTTTCTTTGACAGATGCGCATAATTTATGTACATCAAAAAGCTGAAATTTCAGTTTCGTATGATGATGATTTCAAATATTTGCTCGTTACTTCGATGTTTACTTATTCACTTTTTAACCTTACCGTTAGTATTGGTTTTGGCCCAGTTATTAATATTCGAGACGCAAAAGGTCATTGCGGTGCGCTTGAAAACAATACATTTTTATCCCTTCGAAATTATTGGAATATTTGTGAATAGAATTTTTTTTCGAATGTTTAAACTCTGCTTTCCAAATTTCACGCTAGTTTTCAGTGTGTTGGATGTACGTCAGTCGAGATTTGCATCGCAAAACCGCACGATTGGACGACTCATAATAATTTACATCATAAACACAAGTGAATATTAATTGCGCTGTAAAAAACAAAAATAAAAATTGCGTTTTCATCTTTTCGATATTCGCGCACACAGACGCAACGGTAGTGAAACTGCATAACAATCGGCGCGCGTGGATTTACAAGTCAAATGCGATTTCGATGCCGTCTGCGCCTGAATATGGGGCGCAACCTTAAGCCGACGTAACCCGATAGAAGTATATGGCACGAAATTATCATTGGAAATGCGTTGCACACACCGTGATTGTCACAATTCGGTGGCAACAGGCGGGCGTGCGTTACCATGTCAAGAAAGAAAGTTGCGCATTGTATTATGCATTCAATTCGACCTAATGAATTACAAAATGCAATTTTTTTCCTGTTGGAATAAGGAACATTTGCCACAAATTTTTTCGTATGTTTAATGATTGAAATATTAAACTAATTTATTCCAATTTGTTTCCTCGTCGTAAAAACTTAATGATTTAATCGCACCAGACATAATTTATCATTATCATCCGCAAAAAATGTGTGCTTGTCGACTTATATTGTATCTATATCAATATCTAGCTGGTATTTAAACAAAGTTAACCAACAAAAGACGTCACCGCATACGCAAGCGTTACTTTCGCACGCTCTGCCTTTTACCTTGTTTAAACTTTTTTTTCTCTATGTACTTAGAATGTTCATACAGGTAATTGCGTCTTAAGTTTGCGCTCGCGCGCTGTTTGTGTTTTGGTTGAAGTTTAAGGCCAAGGCAACAACTAGTCAAGTTCGCGTTACATAAACTTCAAAACTTGCAGCTGGAATGCAAACAAAACGCATAGCACAACTTAAACAATCAATGCACACATTCACGCCTTATCAATATTTATCGGCAGACGAATCATACGATATCGGATGATCAGAAATTTGGCAATTCCCGTAATAGATTATCGATATCGTTGTAATTGCATCAGAACACAATGAATCCGCTGAAATTACGCAATTCATTCAATTTAATGCAAAATTCAAACGATTATTACACTTTGTGCGCGGGCAATTAAACGGTGCACAAAACATTTATTTAATTGATCATGAAATGTTAATAAAAGTGTTGGATTTTAGTTTCGAGTTGTTTTTCACAACGCATGCAAATTTCAGCAACATACGAGTGTTTAACATAAAAAGTTCGCACAACACGTTTGTATGATAAGGCTTTAATACCCGATGATAGGGTATTTCGTATAAATATTGTAATAAATACGGGCGGAGGCGCGCGTTGGTCGAGTGACAATAACAACCGCATGTAATTACTTAGCATTTGTTTAAAAGTGCGAACTTGTAGCGGAATGTTAAGCAGAGATAACTATGGTAATATCGTCGAAGAACGCATGATGGCGTGATAGGGTCAGGCGAGGTATTCGACCGATACACATTCGAAATTTGAAAAACAACCGAAAAAAATGTCGTGGAAAAAAAAACAAGTTTCGCATGCATATTAATATCAGTTGCGCTGGCAAAAAAACGGAAAAAAACCACACGAAATCTATGAATGTGTTACGTAATTAATGAAATGACACCCCAGAATCACCGATTAAAGTGTTTGATACACGCTTGATTGGGCAATCACTCATCCAAATCTCGCAATACGCAAATAAACAATAAATGTTATTGTGTGCTAATTTGAGTCGAGATCGTCACGCACATGTTGAAAAAAGCGTCGTCTGCATCGAAGTGTGAATGCATGCAACAAGCATTCGATGTGATGTAAACGCGCAATAAGCCAACTAATAATTGGATATTAATTGAATCGATTAACGGCGTCGAGGAGCGCGCCGGCGACTTGTTGTGTTCCTTTTTATTGCGCGTTCGCGATTTGACCTCTGTGTTCATTTGCGCCGGCTGCTTGATTCGTTTGATTTCTGTGCTGGTGCAGGAGCAGGACCGCGCGCCGGTCACGTCAATATCAAATCAATCACGATGTTTTCCTTTGCGCCCGGCGGCGGCGTGTAAACGAAAAAAGCAAAACAAAACAATACGAGATATCAGTGCGCGCCGAATTGTAATCTAAGCGATTGTTGATTGCTTAACGAGCAATTGTCTCAATTTTGGTTGATGTGATTACCCGGCGTGTGGGTTTGAGTGTGTGTAATCAAACATGTTAACTGTTTATGTTTAAATTTATGATAAATACTACGCGGCGGTTCGCTAGCGCTACCTATGCGCGACTAGTGTTAACGTCGGGAAATTTTTCGCTGCGTCGGGAAATGCGCGTTTTCCACGACGAGAGGTTTATTGATCATCCCGCCAGGCCGCCTGCAGCAATCGAGCGCGTTGCGTGTACGCTGATCAATTTTCCGCTGTGTTTCCTGCGCCTCGCATGCATGCAGGGAGACGTTTCGTCGGCGATGGTTGATGCGGGCACGAATACCTCGCCATGAAAGCGTCGGTGGCGGCGGCGAGTGCGGCGGGCACGGCGCTGCATCACCATGCGGCCGCCAACGTGCACCATGCACCAGCACATCATCCATGGGTGAGTGGACTGCATTCAAATTTAATCCAATCAGTTTCTTTCATTCGGCGCGTATGGAATTTAATTTCGTAGCTCATCACGTTGTGCGTGCTGTTCGGACTCGGCGTCGTGGCGCTCGCCGTGTTCTGGATCCGGCGATGCAAGTAAGTAACCCAGACGCTGCTGTTTTTAGACATCTCCTCCCACGTGAACGGGAAACTCATGCATGATGAATAGGGAATATCCATTGCATCAATTTTAAATGGCTTCCCATGTGAAAAATGCACTTTTAATTCAGTGGTTCATTGATTGCTTATTAAATGTTAAGCGTGAGTGTTGTTGAGTTTGATGGGGCTTTATTTGAAGGTCCAATGTGCCAAGGCATGAATACACGGCGGTGAGTCTCGATAACACGGCGGGCCTTCACTGCCTGCAGGCGCCGTCGATCGAGGACCGTCCTCGCCAGCAGGTCGATGAGGAACTCGCCAAATATCAGCGTCACCTTGGCCTGGAAAGTCGGTACTTCTTCACTGGGAGCCTGGGCAAAATCGGCGCCCGACTCAACAAGCAATGGTAAACATTTTTTCAGGATATTTCTTCTACTTTCTCTTCATCACAACTTCATCGATTTGCTATCAGGTTTATAGTGAAGGATAAGCATGTGGACGCAGAGCGCCTGTTGTCCTTAGTGGATTTACCCAGCGCGGCGCCCATCAAGCCCAACGCTGCCACCAAACAGATTCTGATGGATCTCTTCCGGTCTTTGCATCATCCCTACGTCCTACCTATCCTGGATGTTGAATTCTGGGACTTGACGCATGGGGCAGGCGCGGCGGTGGTATCACCTCTAAGTGCTGATGGCAGTTTGAAGGACTTGATCTATCGAGGGGAGCATTACGAACGGAGGCATGCGGGCAGAGGCCGTGGATTGCCCTATAGGCAGGTGAGTTGATCAATATTTGATCGATTTGATCAGCACTTCCCACATGGGGTGAGCTATTCATAGATTCTAACTGTGAGTGAGGTCAAGGCTCAAATATTCCCAAGAAATGCTGAAAATCAATACATTCTACCCACTCTTGCTATAGATACAGTACTTGGCTCGACAAATCTTGGAAGCTCTCTCGTTCCTGCGCGCCCGCAGCTTTCCAAAGTTCTACCACCTGCATGCGGGTAACGTGATTATCCAAAACGGAGTCGCCCGATTGGCGGGGCTGGAAAACACGTTGTTCTGCCTGTCACTAGCGCGGAAACCGGCGATGGACGAGGTCCTCGCGTTCGGTCACCTCCTCTTTGAAATGACCACTGGGTATGTATACGTGGTACCCTTCTAGGGTTATCTGTATATGTGGATATGGTGGGTTCTTTCAGCTGTGAACCGACCGACGCGCTGCTCGCGTCCCCAACCGCTTTGCGACGCGAACTGGACAGATCCTCAGCCCCTGAACAGATCGCCGACGTGCTCACGTTGATCTTTGACGCGCATGCGTCTGCCGCCACCAACCCAGGAGATGGACCATCTCTGGACGACATCGTGCGCCAGGAGATGTTCAGGGGTCGAGCTGCGTGAGCTGTGCCGGCGTACGGCCACTGCGCTGCAGCCGGAAATGCTGAAGGGGGTGGCCGACCTGCTGCACCTCATCGGCGATCTGCAAGCGGGTGCCGGTACTGCAACGGCAACCGCCACCACCGCCGCCGCAGCGCCGCGTGCGCCTACGCCGGCGGCGGCCGGGGGCGCAAGGTACAGAAAACGCAAACACAAACAGATCGAGGAGGTCGTGCCCGCGGAGTGCGAATGCGATCACAAAGCGGCGCCTAGCGGCAGCTGACCGATAGCGTAGTCTCTGAAATTCTGTCTCTATTTTCTACTCTCTCTTAATCTATTTCTCTATCTCCTTGTCTCTTTGTTTCTCCTGCTGCGTTACGTTCGAAAGCTCCGTATTTTGTTTTGCGTTTCTATCTGTCGCCTCTTGCGTTCTCGTAGCCCGTTTAGTAATTGTAGTTCGTTATCATTTGTAGTATCGTTGCTGATGAGGTAGAAACGGACGTCTTTCGACGGCGATACCATCACGGCGACGACGCTTACGAGGCGTGCGACGAAACGCTCACGGTGACGATCGTCGGCGAGCTGGGTCGGTAGCGCCGGCGCAGTAGCGCTCGTTACGTAGGCCACTAGCGATTACAGGGCAGCACGACGCGCAACTCCGCAACCAAACACCATCCGATTTATAGTCGTAGCGTTCCAACGAAACAAACCAACTAGGATCTAATGAGCAAACTAAAATTCGTTATAATCTGCAATATTCTTAATACTTTTTCGAAGCGATAATCAATTTTTAAGCAAGCGTTTACCATGAATTCAGCCCGAAACTTCAAAAACCTCAGATTGTCGACACCTCAAACATCACACTGAACATTGTCCCATTTCACTCGTCTACTGTTAATTGTTAAGCTTCAAAGCTTTGGTATGAATTCATGATAAGCAATATATAAACTTAGTGAATACAAATGAAGCAAATCAATTTCTGAAGCAATCAAGTTTAAAGCGACATTTATTCTCTTACGAAAGAATGCTTATAAATATTTAAAGAAAAACGTGTCAAAATGTTAAACTTTTCAAGAAATTTAAAATTTACATGCAAACTATGCCAATTAAACGAAGCAAGCAAACGCAGAGTATAAAAGCAAAGCAACGCAAATTGTAAGATAAACGTATACATTTTGGAAACAAATTCGAAGAGGCCAAAAATGCAAGATTTTGGACCAAGAAGTTGTGCAAAACTAGAGACTTTAGCCACCTAGCGATAGAATGTAGTGTTGATAACTAACTGATTGATTTATCTCGACATTTAGGCATAACTCTACCACGTAGTAAGTTGATTTGTTCAAAGTGCCATGCGTACGGAGAGTACTACGTTTGGGTTTTCATAGCGTTTTTCTAGTGCGTAGCGTGTTTTCGTTCTTGTGGATTTGTGTGCCGATCGATGTACTTAACAGACCGTAGATTTTGTAAAACACACATTGTTACACGTCTATACACACGTTGCGTCTACACTTCTCGATTCTACACACGGAGGCGAACACGATACAAAGCGAAACAAGACAACATCAAAAACAATCAATAAAACCGTCCCAAAATATAAAAAAAAAAATACCGAAGCGTCGATGCTTTCCGAGAGGGTTTTATTGCGAGTACACACCACTGACATTTCCCTCAGCGCATGCAGGGCGCGCCGGATGGCTGAATGGTGGTATCCGAGCTACCCTGTGTGCCCATGTCAATTAGCAGTGTTGTTTAATGGCTCTTTTTGCAGTGACTATTTAGGCAGTTGCACGCCCGTGGCCGATACCCACGCCGACAGTGATTGCAGCGATGATGATGATGATGATGACGATGACGTGCCAAGACGCTTTTCGTCTTTCCCACCACGGATCTCAAAGATTGCGCCTTCCTGGCGTCGCAATCGAGGCACGATGATGTGCCATTTTGCCGCGTAGATTACGACGGTGATAAGTGCCGGACGTACCTCGCGTCGAATTCCATGATAGAGATTTGACGCAATGCAACATTCCGACGCGCCGCCGCCATTGAGAGCCTCCGTTATACACGATGGACGCTTATTTTTCTAATGATGTACATATCTAGAACTGCTAGCAATTCTACGTTCTTTGCATGTGCTATTTGTATGCAGTTTAGACTCCTCAAATTCGTCCTTGTATTGCAATTTTTCGAGATTGTGAAAGCTGTAACTGAATTCTAAATATTTATAAGTGTAACACAATCATCACAACGAAATGAGATATTAAATCACGTAAGAAAACAAACAGATGGGCAAGTGAATCATTTATTTATAAAAATATAACGTTTCAGTATAGGCATTAGTAATACCTGCAATTTTTTAATGTGCAAGATAAAAATTACCGTAATCAACGACACGATTCGTAAAAATCAATGAAAAATTGCACATTGCAGCCGACTTTATAACACCTTATTAAATAACAAAAGCTGGGCATTTTAGTTTTATTAAGCTTGAATTTAAAATTGTACAGTTTTATGCGCAGTCTTGAGTTTGAACGCATAACAATGAGGCAGCTCATATTTTCAGCGTTATGTATTCTACAAATTCAACTTTCTGCAAGTCTCGGCATTGCTTTCAGTATTAAACTGGAATTTGTATCCAATTTCATCACATCAAATCATGGAAAGTTTGATTTGTATTTTTCGTCTTGGAGTGACAAAGAACAACAAAATTTGTTCAAAAATTCAGCGCAGTTGCTTAAAATTTCCTCGGCGGAATTCACCAACAATGAAACATCAATCCGTATTTACGATTTCATGCTTGCTAACAATGAAAGTTTAAAAACTCTCTCTGATAACGCCGTAAAACTGTTATTAATTCAAAATGACACCCCGATTGATCAGTTTCTGAAAGATCAAGACATCTTACCAAGTCGAAATATTTTCATTGCTAGGTTTATTAACGCTAATGAAAATGTCCTGGTAAAACTATCACGAATTTATCGGCTTGGGAATGTCCCCAACTCAAAAATATACGACGATTACTTATTAACATGGAGAAGTGGCGAGAAAGTGGACCTAAACTTGCTGAAAATGAAACAAAAACGCATTAACTTCAATGGTATGAAACTTCCGGTTGCGATTGTTTTGAGTAGTCCTCGAACTCTACCACGTTTGGAAGATTTTCGTGATCAATGGACAGACACGTACACCAAAGCTAACTACGGTCCCATCATGAAATTGTTTGCTTATTTTAATATTACACCGGAATTTAAGGTGGTACCCGATTACAAACACTTGGAATCAATTGATAACAAGTATTTACTAACAGGTAACCTTAACAAATACATTCTTGAAAATTGTGTTGTTTAATTGATTGATTGATTCTTTACAGTTACCGCTCCTTATATGACCAAAATGATGTTAGCATATATTGATTTTATAAAAGTCTCACCGCCGACAAAGTTGTGTTACACCCTGCGACGTCCACCTACCAGTTTCGTGACGACCATTTTACGGTCACCTTCACTGCGGCGGTGTGGTACGCCACTGTCGGACTGTTAGCCATTCTCTCAATAGCGTTGTATTTTTTCCTTAATGTGGAAACCAGCCGCGAAGACGTAATTTTTTGTTGTTATCTTGAAAAATCCCGCGTTAACGCAGAATATTTATAGATCAAAGGGAAAACTACGTTCAATGCGTATGACCTGATGCTTATTGGACTGGAAGCAATTTGCCAGCAAGGAACATCAACAGATCCTCGTAGTTATGCATCACGAATGCTTCAGGTCTTCATGTTTATGGCGTTCATGTTTCTTTACGTGGCGTATTCGGCAAATATCTTGGTCCTGCTGCAAAGTACCACAGCGTTGACCAAGCATGAGCAGTTGATTGAATACGAGATGGATTATGCAGGCATGAATACTTCGGATTTTAACTATTACAACTCGGTAATCTAAATAAATCTCTCTGCAAGTGATTGCATTTAGTAAAATGATTTTTTTATATATATAGGAGACTGCAGATCGTATTTTTAAGAAAAACGTGGATGCCCCGGTGTTGTACTCTGTACAACAGGGAATGGAGAAAGTCCAACATGGAGTTTTTGCGTTTTTCTTGGAGGAGCGCTACGGATCCATGTACGCCAGGGATTATTTTACTGATTACGAGGTGTGCGGATTGCAGGAATTTGGTGCAAGGTATGATTTTAGTATGGGATACGCCGCGATTAGCAAACATTCCGGCTACACGGAAATTTTTAAAGTTGCGTAAGTACACACAGCACAAAACTTTGACTGTAATTGATGTAATTACATTTTTATTTGTTTTTAGCCTGAACCAAATCACGGAACAAGGATTTGCCTATCGTCACTACCTGCGTTACTTCCTTAAACCTGCATGTTATTCACAAGGGAGCAGTTTCGACAACATTGGCATTCGGGAAATATATCAAGCTATCGTTTTGGTGGCCATTGGAGTATTTTCAGGAGTACTAATACTTCTATTGGAGATAGTATTGAATCAAGTTCGTGAACGAAAACTCTTACCCCGCATAATTAAATAATTTGAATGTTCAAAACTTGAATGAATATAAATTGTAGTGCGCTTAGAATAAACACATTTAAATCTACTTAAGTAAGATATGATAGGCAACCCATTCTGTAGTTACTTAAGTTTGTAATATCTTACCGGGTGAACAGATGGCTTAAGGAATGTGTAAAGAAATGTCGAAGCGAAAGGTATGGCTCTTCGGTCCGCTAACATACCTGCCGCTATCTGCTTTAGCGACTCAAGTTGAAATGAGACGGGGAGAGTTCACGGTCGCGAAACCGAAAGCGAGCATTGTCAGTCCCACTCAGCCGCGCAGTTTTACTTAGACACGCGTTGTGGCAAGTGGCTGATTGTGCGGCGTATTGCGTCTGTTAGTTTTGTTTTGCTTTCTTCGGCGAAAACGCATTGAGTCTATCAGAAACCCGCTGGAAAATGGGATAAACAAGAAAAACACACATTGGATTGCAGGTATGTGCCACGTTTATTCATTGTTTTTAATTAAGCGAAGCTAGAATCCGATATTCTCGCGCAAACTAGAAACTACATCGCGTGGAGTCAACAAGTGTTATTTAAGGTCAAAGAAGTTACGCGCTTCTAGTCGCGGCGATATGTATTTGTATGATAATTTGAATTCGATGTAACTAAATTCATTAGAAGCCGATTTTTGTGCACATTTTGCGGACCAGTTATTTCGAAATCCTTGAGACTTATAACGTTTTAATTTTTAGTGTTTGCGTTGGTAGAAATCAGCATGGTTGACTGGCAAATATGTATCACTTATAGAAGTGATTTTTTTATAAGGAAGAAACAATAATTGGTAGGTAATTTTAAAAATTATTCCTTAAGTAGTATGATTTAATCTTTCTGGCTGTTAGGAAATGTTCTGCGGACCATTAAAACGCTGCCGAAGACTCTGGCCCGTCCTATTGTGCGTGTCTACTCTAGTGATACTGACTCTCTGGCGCATAAATTCCACAAACAATGGAACACATCCGTTGTCAGCGCAAAGCCGAATCCACAAAAAATCTACCAGTAGGCATATTTGTCAAAACAATTTTAATACTTGTTACTTACACTCCTTTTGTTGCCGGTGTAGTAGTAAAATGGTAATCAAGAGGAGTACGTTGATCGAAACGGTATTAAAGTGGTTGTAGGACATTATGTGGGTCCTTCATTAAAGCAGGTGCCAAATGCTACGCTCGCGGAAATCAACGCCAATAACTTTCACCCAGAGCCTAAGGCAGGTAAAGATGGTCGGCCTGTGATGACACCACCAAAGGATCTTTTTCGCATGCAGAAACTGTTTCAAATCAACAGGTTCAATTTACTTGCGAGTGATCGCATTGCGTTGAATCGCACGTTGCCTGATGTCCGTCGCAAGAAGTAAGTTATTTTGGTTTTCGAGGAGGAACGGAAGACATGATTATTTGTTTTTTTAGGTGTAAATATTTGTACGACATTAGCAAAAGCTTTCCATCCGCCAGTGTTATAATTGTATTTCATAACGAAGCTTGGTCAACTCTCCTGCGAACCGTGTGGAGTGTAATTTCTCGGTCACCCAAAGAGCTTCTTCAAGAAATTATTTTGGTTGATGATGCTAGTGATAGAGGTATGTTTAAAATAAATTCTCCTTGAGAGGAGGCTATGCTTATGATTTCTAGACCATTGATATTTACTTTTTTAAATTAGAATTCTTACGAAAACCTCTAGATGATTACCTGCCGACATTACCAGTGAAAACGGTAATCCATCGCTTCCCAAATCGTGTGGGATTAATACAAGCGCGTTTGAAAGGAGCACGCGCTGCCCAGGCTCCAGCTCTAGTCTTCCTGGACGCGCATTGCGAAGTAACCGAAGGTTGGCTCACGCCATTGCTTGCCCGCATTGCTGCGTCCCCAAAATCTGTCGTCTGTCCAGTTATAGATATTATTAATGATGAAACCTTTGCTTACGTGAAAAGTTTTGAACTGCATTGGGGTGCACTTAACTGGAACCTACAATTCCGATGGTTTACCCTTGGTGGTCACCAGCTGCGACTGCGCAAGAAGGATGCTAGTGAGCCGTTTGCCAGCCCTACAATGGCCGGAGGATTATTTGCTATTGAAAAAGACTTCTTCTGGGCAATTGGCGCATATGATGAAGACATGCGTATATGGGGAGGGAAAATCTCGAGATGTCCTTCCGGGTATGGCAATGTGGGGACGAGTTGAGATTGCTCCCTGTTCCCATGTTGGGCATCTATTTCGAAAGTCTTCACCGTACACATTCCCAGGTGGCGTGTCTGAGACGCTGTTTGCGAATCTGGCACGTGTCGCGCTTGTGTGGATGGATGAATGGGCGGATTTTTATTTCATGTTTAACGAAGAAGCCGCCAAAGTAAAGAATTCCATTGATGTATCAAATCGTACTGCGCTGCGCCGTGAGTTGAAATGCAAGTCCTTTGCGTGGTATCTACGCAATGTGTGGCCGCAGCACTTTTTCCTGATCACGATCGATTTTTGGCAGAATTCGAAACTTGGATATCAATCGATGCTTGATCAAACCTCTGGGTAAATTATCGAATCAACCCATGGGCGTAGCAAAATTAAACGAGTGTTTGGCAAACGAACATCTGACGGTGGAAATGTTTGTGATCACCAAGGAGGGATTTGTAATGACGGACGATTCTATTTGCTTAGATGCTCCGGAAAAGGAAGTAAACGGAGCAAAGAAAGTCAGGATCATGGCGTGCAGTGGAGCCAGTCGGCAGCAGTGGAAATATCATGAGGAGGCGAAGGAATTGCGTCACTTGACGAATGATTTATGCCTGGATTTACCGGATGGCAAGGAATATAATGATGGGTTGATCATTCGGACGTGTGATGGCAGATTAAGTCAAAAATGGAAATTAGAAGAAGTGAAATGGACGACTCAATTAAAAAATTAAAATAGCTGTTGACAATCTATTATTTTAACTTGCCGCTAAATGAAATTTACACAACTTAACACACTTGAAAATGTACGCTATACAATTGGTCATTTGTAATGATGTACGTTTAATAATATAATACACATAATAATTAAATAACTTATTTGTAGGGGAACCATTTTACATGAGATTGTAAGTGTTGAATTTCTCTATCATTTTCATAAATAAATTTTGTGATTATCTCACGAATTAACCCCTAAAATTGGATTTTTGTGTTTCGATGCACTAATTTTTGATTGTTTTAGGGATTTTCGACGTGAGCCCGATATCGTAGAAGAACCATTCTTGCATCAGATTGTAAGTATTGAATTTCTCTATCATTGTCATAAATAAATTTTGTGATTATCTCACGAATTAACCTCTAAAATTGGATTTTGTGTTTCGATGCACTAATTTTTGATTGTTTTAGGGATTTTCGACGTGAGCCCGATATCGTAGAAGAACCATTCTTGCATCAGATTGTAAGTATTGAATTTCTCTATCATTGTCATAAATAAATTTTGTGATTATCTCACGAATTAACCTCTAAAATTGGATTTTTGTGTTTCGATGCACTAATTTTTATTGTTTTAGGGATTTTCGACGTGAGCCCGATATCGTAGAAGAACCATTCTTGCATCAGATTGTAAGTATTGAATTTCTCTATCATTGTCATAAATAAATTTTGTGATTATCTCACGAATTAACCTCTAAAATTGGATTTTTGTGTTTCGATGCACTAATTTTTGATTGTTTTAGGGATTTTCGACGTGAGCCCGATATTGTAGAAGAACCATTCTTGCATCAGATTGTAAGTATTGAATTTCTCTATCATTGTCATAAATAAATTTTGTGATTGTCTCACGAATTAACCTCTAAAATTGGATTTTTGTGTTTCGATGAACTAATTTTTGATTGTTTTAGGGATTTTCGACGTGAGCCCAATATCGTAGAAGAACCATTCTTGCATCAGATTGTAAGTATTGAATTTCTCTATCATTGTCATGAATAAATTTTGTGATTATCTCACGAATTAACCCCTAAAATTGGATTTTTGTGTTTCGATGCACTAATTTTTGATTGTTTTAGGGATTTTCGACGTGAGCCCGATATCGTAGAAGAACCATTCTTGCATCAGATTGTAAGTATTGAATTTCTCTATCATTGTCATAAATAAATTTTGTGATTATCTCACAAACTGACCCTCAAAATTGAATTTTTATGTTCGAAGGACTAATTTTTGCTTGTTTTAGGGATTTTGCACCTGAGTCTGACATCGTAGAAGCACCATTCTTGCATCAGATTGTAAGTATTTAATTTCTTTATCATTTTCCTAAATAACTTTTGTGATTATCTCACAAATTAACACTTAAAATTGCATTTTTATGTTCGAAAGACTAATTTTTGCTTGTTTTAGGGATTTTGCACCTGAGTCTGACATCGTAGAAGCACCATTCTTGCATCAGATTGTAAGTATTTAATTTCTTTATCATTTTCCTAAATAACTTTTGTGATTATCTCACAAATTAACACTTAAAATTGCATTTTTATGTTCGAAAGACTAATTTTTGCTTGTTTTAGGGATTTTGCACCTGAGTCTGACAGTAGAAGGACCATTCTTGCGTCAGATTGTTATTATTAAATTTCATTATCTTTAATAACTTTTGTGATTATTACACAAATTGACTCCCAAAATTTATGCTTGTGTGTTTTCTTTAATAAAGAATATTTTTAAGTTTTTCTAATTAAAATTATTTCTGTTATTTTTACCTGATCACATATTCATATTTAACGATTCCTTAAACCATTTATTTTGAAAAGTGCATGCTAGTGCCATCTATCAATTAGAAACTACAACAACCGAAAATTTTGAGCTTCGGTCCGTCGCCACTGGAGGCAGCACATTACTAGTTACCGCGAAAACTTTATCAGCCTCCTCAACTTTCTGCGCTCCTAATATTCGATCTTTATTTTGTCGACTCTGGGAGGCAAAATGACACAAAATTTGGACTCGAAACAGTCGAAACTCAGGTTTTGGTATTCGGATCGCAGAAAGGGTGAGGAGGTATGTAAATAAAAGAGGCGCAAACTAGTAATGGCGAGTAAAATGAATGTTTAAAAATCTTTATTCAGCAAATTCGGTTTTCGAATTCTGATGGATTTCGACAACTAAGAGGGCTATAAAATTATGAACTACATAATCTTGATCCTTGAAAAATTCTCTACAAGGTGGCATCATTATTGAAAAATCATCAAAATGGCACACAAAATTTTTAAGAAAAAGATTTTGTTATAAAAAAGGCAAAAGATTTCTCTTTTTTATGATGAAAATTAAAAGTTGGATTTTTTGAATTCAGTTTTCGAATTCTGATCGACAATTTAATTCTACAACAATTATTTTAGTAACTTTTTTACTAGCATTAACTGCTTAGGCCCTATTTGCAATTTTATAGAACAAATGGAATATGTACCGAAACAAATTGAAATAATATATATAATAATTTGGTGGAACTGCCTATGTCCACTTTCTGCGTTCCTAATACCACAGACTGATGAGCAGCACTTTCAGCAAATTTCTCGATAAATTTTGTCGAGAAATCCATTGAAATTGGTAACAAAAATCATTTGAATATTAGGATCGCAGAAAGTGCAGTAGGCTGGTGAGTAGCAGGTCATTCGAATAGCGACGTAGTTTAGTTACTCATGGATAGATGGCACTAGTGATACCGTTTTTAAATTAATATTGATAAAATATAAAATTGATTTTGAATTATTTTCCATATCTAGGAGTGACATTTCAATTAATGTTTAAGGGATTTATGGAATAATGAAAGGAGTAACGATGTTGTGAGCTATGTTCTCCGTTGGGAACAAATAATACAATAAAAATTTATAGTCAAAAATATAAAACAACAATTTTATTCAAACATGTAGAATCACAAACTCAATTTCTCAATATATACAGCATTTTTAACAATATATGCATGAAAACAGGATAATAATATGCAATTATATAATGCTCCATTTAACTAGATACATAATATGATATCAATATCAACTTCAAAATGTTGTAAATTCATTCAATCGTATTTGGAATCATCATCAACACCGGCAATCCAATCTTCAATTTCGTGGACACTATAAATCAGAAAGAATAACAGAATAGTAAAATATAAAATATTATAAATGGCAAAAATATAACATACGTTCTGGGTATTTTAGTCCAGTTGACACATCCATTTTCAGTAGTCAAAACATCATCCTCAATACGCACTCTACCAGTACCACGGAATCTCTCAACTTGCTCCTTATTGATAAACTTGGGCATATCAGGAATTGCCAATGCTTCATCCAACTGGAAAATATATATGTAAATGAAATATACATATACATAAATTAAATTATTTATTCTTACAGGATCCATAAAGAGTCCCATTTAGGGCACTGTACGAAGGTAGCGACTGTAGTGACTCCCATTCAAGGCACCGTACGAAGGTGGCGGCAGTAGAGACTCCTAGAATCAAACTTATATTAGTCGTGATGTTCAAATTTAAAGCTGCGTAATAAAACTACAATTCCTAGCGCAACGAGTACTACGGCGTATACACACAACTTTCAATATAACTCGCGTTAAGAAATTTTCAAGCAATAAATTTCGATACAGGGGGATACAGAATTAAATTCAGCATCTAGGAAAATTATTTCGAAGTAATTGTAACACCGCATTCGTGAGTTATAACAAACAAACTACAATTCCTAGCGCAACGAGTAAGACGGCGCACACACACAACATTCAATATAACTCGCGTTACGCAATAAATTTCTACACATGAGGACACAGAATTAAAGTCACCATCTAGAAAAATTATTTCGAACTAATTGTAGCACCGCGTTCGCGAGTTATCACAAACAAACTACAATTTCTAGCGCAACGCCCATTTTATTCAATCGCGAATATCTCCTAAACTAAAAGAGATAATTAAGATCTGATCGCAGCGTCTTAATCTACGGACTATTCTGTATCAGATAAGATAGTTAAAAGGGAAATTTGAGAGATGAAATTTTAAGTCTTAAGAAAAAAATTGCCCAGGGGGGGTGCTTGATACTTTTTTTCGACGATTTATAAAAATTCATATCTCTTAAACTAAACGCGATAGCAACCCACAAATCGTTGATTATGAAAGATTGGAAAATTCTCTATCAGATAAAAATATAAAATAATTATATTTCCTACAGTAAAAGGTCGAAAAACGCGTCTAAAAGTGCTAAAAAGTAACATTTTGCAATTTTTGCTCATTTCATTCAATCGCGAATATCTCCTAAACTAAAAGAGATAATTAAGATCTGGTCGCAGCGTCTTAATCTACGGACTATTCTGTATCAGATAAGATAGTTAAAAGGGAAATTTGAGAGATGAAATTTTAAGTCTTAAGAAAAAAATTGCCAAGGGGGGGTGCTTGATACTTTTTTTCGACGATTTTTAAAAATTCATATCTCTTAAACTAAACGCGATAGCAACCCACGAATCGTTGATTATGAAAGATTGGAAAATTCTCTATCAGATAAAAATATAAAATAATTATATTTCCTACAGTAAAAGGTCGAAAAACGCGACTAAAAGTGCTAAAAAGTGACATTTTGCAATTTTTGCTCATTTCATTCAATCGCGAATATCTCCTAAACTAAAAGAGATAATTAAGATCTGATCGCAGCGTCTTAATCTACGGACTATTCTGTATCAGATAAGATAGTTAAAAGGGAAATTTGAGAGATGAAATTTTAAGTCTTAAGAAAAAAATTGCCAAGGGGGGGTGCTTGATACTTTTTTTCGACGATTTTTAAAAATTCATATCTCTTAAACTAAACCCGATATCAACCAACGAATTGCTGATTATGAAAGATTGGAAAATTCTCTATCAGATAAAAATATAAAACAATTATATTTCCTACAGTAAAAGGCCGACAAACGCGACTGAAAGTGCTAAAAAGTGACATTTTTCAATTTTTGCCCATTTTCTTTAATCGCGAATATCTCGTAAACTAAAAGAGATAATTAAGATCTGATCGCAGCGTCTTAATCTACAGACTTATCTCTATAAGATATGATAGTTAAAATGGAAATGTGAGAGATCAAATTTTAATTCTTAAGAAAAAATTGCCAAGGGGGGGTGCTTGATACTTTTTTTCGACGATTTTTAAAAATTCATATCTCTTAAACTAAAAGAGATGGCAACCCACGAATTGCTGATTATGAAAGATTGGAAAAGTCTCTATCAGATAAAAATATAAAACAATTATATTTCCTACAGTAAAAGGCCGAAAAACGCGACTGAAAGTGCTAAAAAGTGACATTTTTCAATTTTTGCCCATTTTCTTTAATCGCGAATATCTCGTAAACTAAAAGAGATAATTAAGATCTGATCGCAGCGTCTTAATCTACGGACTTATCTCTATAAGATATGATAGTTAAAACGGAAATGTGAGAGATCAAATTTTAATTCTTAAGAAAAAATTGCCAAGGGGGGGTGCTTGATACTTTTTTTCGACGATTTTTAAAAATTCATATCTCTTAAACTAAACGCGATATCAACCAACGAATTGCTGATTATGAAAGATTGGAAAATTCTCTATCAGATAAAAATATAAAACAATTATATTTCCTACAGTAAAAGGCCGAAAAACGCGACTGAAAGTGCTAAAAAGTGACATTTTTCAATTTTTGCCCATTTTCTTTAATCGCGAATATCTCGTAAACTAAAAGAGATAATTAAGATCTGATCGCAGCGTCTTAATCTACGGACTTATCTCTATAAGATATGATAGTTAAAACGGAAATGTGAGAGATGAAATTTTAATTCTTAAGAAAAAATTGCCAAGGGGGGGCTTGATACTTTTTTTCGACGATTTTTAAAAATTCATATCTCTTAAACTAAACCCGATATCAACCAACGAATTGCTGATTATGAAAGATTGGAAAATTCTCTATCAGATAAAAATATAAAACAATTATATTTCCTACAGTAAAAGGCCGAAAAACGCGACTGAAAGTGCTAAAAAGTGACATTTTTCAATTTTTGCCCATTTTCTTTAATCGCGAATATCTCGTAAACTAAAAGAGATAATTAAGATCTGATTGCAGCGTCTTAATCTACAGACTTATCTCTATAAGATATGATAGTTAAAACGGTGGCGGCAGTAGAGACTCCTAGAATCAAACTTATATTAGTCGTGATGTTCAAATTTAAAGCTGCGTAATAAAACTACAATTCCTAGCGCAACGAGTACTACGGCGTATACACACAACTTTCAATATAACTCGCGTTAAGAAATTTTCAAGCAATAAATTTCGATACAGGGGGATACAGAATTAAATTCAGCATCTAGGAAAATTATTTCGAAGTAATTGTAACACCGCATTCGTGAGTTATAACAAACAAACTACAATTCCTAGCGCAACGAGTAAGACGGCGCACACACACAACATTCAATATAACTCGCGTTACGCAATAAATTTCTACACATGAGGACACAGAATTAAAGTCACCATCTAGAAAAATTATTTCGAACTAATTGTAGCACCGCGTTCGCGAGTTATCACAAACAAACTACAATTTCTAGCGCAACGCCCATTTTATTCAATCGCGAATATCTCGTAAACTAAAAGAGATAATTAAGATCTGATCGCAGCGTCTTAATCTACGGACTATTCTCTATCAGATAAGATAGTTAAAAGGAAATTTGAGAGATGAAATTTTAAGTCTTAAGAAAAAATTGCCAAGGGGGGGTGCTTGATACTTTTTTTCGACGATTTTCAAAAATTCATATCTCTTAAACTAAAAGCGATAGCAACCAACGAATTGTTGATTATGAAAGATTGGAAAATTCTCTATCAGATAAAAATATAAAATAATTATATTTCCTACAGTAAAAGGTCGAAAAACGCGACTAAAAGTGCTAAAAAGTGACATTTTGCAATTTTTGCCCATTTTATTCAATCGCGAATATCTCGTAAACTAAAAGAGATAATTAAGATCTGATCGCAGCGTCTTAATCTACGGACTAATCTCTATCAGATAAGATAGTTAAAAGGGAAATTTGAGAGATGAAATTTTAAGTCTTAAGAAAAAATTGCCAAGGGGGGGTGCTTGATACTTTTTTTCGACGATTTTCAAAAATTCATATCTCTTAAACTAAAAGAGATAGCTACCAACGAATTATTGATTATGAAAGATTGGAAAATTCTCTATCAGATAAAAATATAAAATAATTATATTTCCTACAGTAAAAGGTCGAAAAACGCGACTAAAAGTGCTAAAAAGTGACATTTTGCAATTTTTGCCCATTTTATTCAATCGCGAATATCTCGTAAACTAAAAGAGATAATTAAGATCTGATCGCAGCGTCTTAATCTACGGACTAATCTCTATCAGATAGGATAGTTAAAAGGGAAATTTGAGAGATGAAATTTTAAGTCTTAAGAAAAAATTGCCAAGGGGGGGTGCTTGATACTTTTTTTCGACGATTTTCAAAAATTCATATCTCTTAAACTAAAAGAGATAGCAACCAACGAATTGTTGATTATGAAAGATTGGAAAATTCTCTATCAGATAAAAATATAAAATAATTATATTTCCTACAGTAAAAGGTCGAAAAACGCGACTAAAAGTGCTAAAAAGTGACATTTTGCAATTTTTGCCCATTTTATTCAATCGCGAATATCTCGTAAACTAAGAGAGATAATTAAGATCTGATCGCAGCGTCTTAATCTACGGACTAATCTCTATCAGATAGGATAGTTAAAAGGGAAATTTGAGAGATGAAATTTTAAGTCTTAAGAAAAAATTGCCAAGGGGGGGTGCTTGATACTTTTTTTCGACGATTTTCAAAAATTCATATCTCTTAAACTAAAAGAGATAGCTACCAACGAATTGTTGATTATGAAAGATTGGAAAATTCTCTATCAGATAAAAATATAAAATAATTATATTTCCTACAGTAAAAGGTCGAAAAACGCGACTAAAAGTGCTAAAAAGTGACATTTTGCAATTTTTGCCCATTTTATTCAATCGCGAATATCTCGTAAACTAAAAGAGATAATTAAGATCTGATCGCAGCGTCTTAATCTACGGACCAATCTCTATCAGATAGGATAGTTAAAACGGAAATCTGAGAGATGAAATTTTAATTCTTAAGAAAAAATTGCCAAGGGGGGGTGCTTGATACTTTTTTTCGACGATTTTCAAAAATTCATATCTCTTAAACTAAAAGAGATAGCTACCAACGAATTGTTGATTATGAAAGATTGGAAAATTCTCTATCAGATAAAAATATAAAATAATTATATTTCCTACAGTAAAAGGTCGAAAAACGCGACTAAAAGTGCTAAAAAGTGACATTTTGCAATTTTTGCCCATTTTATTCAATCGCGAATATCTCGTAAACTAAAAGAGATAAATAAGATCTGATCGCAGCGTCTTAATCTACGGACCAATCTCTATCAGATAGGATAGTTAA